AATTCTATATTTAGTAATTAAAGAATATATATAATATAAATAGATAGATATAAAAGAATAATATCGTTATTAGTATAGAATTTAATAATCTAATCTTTAATTAAATAATATTATATCCTATCCTAAATATAAAAGATAATACTTACTGTTTTTTAATAGTTTATCGAATTTATAATTTAAAGAATCTATAAAGGCATAAGTTAGAAGCTCTATATATTAAAAAATATAATAATTACTTATATATATCTAATAAACCACTTTAAACCTAAGACGTTATTTATTTAGTTATTTTTAATTTATTATAATTTATACGACTTTATCCTTAAAACCTCGTATTAAATCTTTATTTAACGCTTTTTTTAAGATAATAAACGATATAAGAAGTCTTTTATTAGTGAATATATATTCGATAAGAGATATTTATTCTCTACTCTCATCTTAAGCTTTATATATATGTATATTATACTTAAAATATATAACTCTTATTTTAATATTAGAATTAAGAGTACTACTTTTTTATTTATATTATATATATTAATTATTTAAATATTATACTTTTAAATTATTAACTTTATAAATTAAAATTATTATAATAACTTTATTAAATTATAAGTTATAATACGTTTTTTATCTAATAACTAATTAAATTAATTTTATAGATTTAAATAACGTTTCTTATTATTTAATTTATATCTAATTTCTTATAATTATTCTTTTCTATTAATATTTTTTAACTATATATTTAATAGAGATAACTCTTAAAGATTAATCTTACTCTACTATTTATAAAATTTATAATTTTAGAGTTTACAACTTAATAGAACTTAATTATTATTTATATTAATATACTTTTTAATAAGAACGAGTTTTTCTAATAATATATCGAGTAAGAGTAATAGAAATAAAATTATAATATAATGTAATTGATATAAAATAAAACTTTTTTAAGAGTCTAAGTTAATTTTAAAGATTATAAGAACTTAATAATACTTATTAATTATAAGATCTTAGCGTATATATTTAGATAGCTCTTTTAAATTTTTTAAAGCTATTAATAGAGAGATAATAAAAATATCCATCTCTTATAGTGAGACTATAAATTAATAAGTTTATTTCTTAGCTATCTCGATATTTATTTATTAATTAATTTATATAAAAAGGCTTAATATTTACTTCTACTTTAGACTAATAAACTTATAGAAAGATTTATAAATAGGCTTATAGATTCTATTTTAGACTAATAGACTTATAGAAAGACTTATAAATAACTTATAGATAGACTAATAAGAAACTTATAGATAGATATAAAAGAATAATATCGTTATTAGTATAGAATTTAATAATCTTAATATTAATATATAATATATACCTATTAAATATAAGAAGACGATACTATTCTTTAATAATTTATCGAGTTTACGACTTAAAGGATCTATAAGAAGTAAGTTAGAAGCTCTATATATAAAAAGATATAACTTATATATATCTAATAAACCACTCTAGATCTAAGACGTTATTTATCCAACCATTTTCACTTATCGTAATTTATACGACTTTATCCTTTAAGATCTTATATTAGGCCTTTATTTAACGCTTTTCTTTAAAGATAATAAACGATATAAGAAGCCTTTCATCAGCGGATATACATTTAATAAGAGATATCTATTCTCTACTCTTATTCTAAGCTTTATATATATATATATTATACTTAAAGTATATAACTCTCATTTTAGTATTAGAATTAAGAGTACTCTTTTTCTTATTTATATTATATATATTAATCGTCTAAATATTATACTTCTAAATTACTAACTTTATAAGCTAAAATCATCGCAATAACTTCGCTAAATTATAAGTTATAATATATTCTTTATTTAATAGCTAACTAAATCGACTCTATAGATCTAAATAACGTCTTAGAAAGCTTATTATTTAATTTATACTTAATTTCTTATAATTATTCTTTTCTACTAGTATTTCTTTAGTTATATATCTAATAGAGGTAACTCTTAAAGGCTAACCCCACTCTACTATCTATAGAATTTATAATTTTAGAGCTTACTTCTTAATAGAACTTAATCGCTATTTATATTAATATGCTTCTTAATGAGAATAAGTCTTTCTAGTAATACGTCGAATAAGAGTAATAGAAATAAGATTATAATATAATATAATTAATATAAGATAAGACTTTTTTTTCTAAGAGTCTAAGCTAATTTTAAAGGCTATAAGAACTTAATAATACTTATTAATTATAAGATCTTAGCGTATATATTTAGATAGCTCTTTTAAATTCTTTAAAGTTATTAATAGAGGGATAATAAGAAATATAATTCTTTCGCTATAGTAGGACTGTGAATTAATAAGTTTATTTCTTAATCACCTCGGTTACTTATTCGATAATCGATTCGTATAGAAAGACTTATATATCTACTTCTACTTTAGACTAATAGACTTATAGAAAGGCTTATAGATAAGCTTATAGATTCTACTTTAGACTAGTAGACTTATAGAAAGACTTATAGATAGGCTTATAGAAAGGCTTATAGATAAATCTATAGAAAGACTTATAGATAGACTTATAGATAGACTTATAGATAGATTTATAGATAACTTATAAAAGAAGCTTATAGAAAGCTTATAGAAAGACTTATAGAAAGGCTTATAGGGAGATTTATATATATACTCTCATCTAGATAATAGAAGACGTCTATTCTTTAAATTACTATACGGCTTAGAGGAACCTCGAATATCGTATTTTTAAACGAATTAAATTTATTCGAAGTCTTTAGAAAGTATTTTAAGGCCTTATTAAAAATCGATTACTTAGACTCTTATTATTTAATAACGATTTTATATAGGCCCCACCGAGCGTACTCCCCTTATTAGTCTATTTATAAAGGTCTTTTAAAGCTATAGTGCGGTATCTATAGGTCTTACTATCGCCGTTAATGATCTTAATCGATATCGACTATCTAATATATTATAGAGAAAACTACTAAAAGATTATATAATATTATTTTAAAGTTTAGTAACTCGATTTAACTCGGCTCGAAAGCGCCCGATTTAATTAGATTATATTATTCGAATACTATTTCTTTTATAAAATTTATAAAATATTAAGCTTAAAATAATCAACGTATATTAAAATACCTCTTTAACTACTCTTCTCTTATTTATTAATTAATCTTCTTTAAATTAAAGCCCCTTAACGCTTCGATAATATGCTCGGAGAGAAGTATTATAGTAACCTAGAAAGTATAATATTACTATCGCTATCGCCGGTATAAGAATTTCTTCTCTACTCCGTAATAAAAATATATATTATCTAATTATTCTATAATTATAAAACTCACTCCGTGGCGAACTTTAAGGCGCTCGAAAGAGTAGTATTTAAAGTATTTATTATCTTTACGAGATCTTAAATAGTATAGAGACGAGTATACTAGATAATTATAAAGAAATTATATTATTTACTTACTTATAGTACTTATAATACTTACTTACTTACTTACTTACTTACTTACTTATATACTTACTTACTTACTTACTTACTTATAGTACTTATAATACTTACTTACGTACTTACGTTACTATAGCGATATCTTAATCTCTAGTCTAGCCCGATATCGAGCTATTACTCTTAAAGACCTATAGTTTAAATTCAGCTATAGCTAAAAAAACTCTATGAAAAAAAATGAATATAGGCTTTACTCTAAAGGAGTATATCATAGACTAATATATCTTAGTTTTTAAAGTCTTTTTTCTACGGCTATTCTAATATATATATATTATAGAGATATAAATATATATATAAGTTAATAGTCGAGTTTTTATATATAATATTCTTAATTACTAGACTATATAAACTAATTATTATTTCGAATACTACTTTACTATATAATCTCTGTATCTCAGTATGCCATCATACTTACCTACCCCTTAAAACCATCTTGCAATTCGCAAAGCCCGAACTGAAGATGATCGGCGCATACGGGCCGCGTCGGTCAAGGTGCAGGCTCTCGGCTGCCTCGTGCCCAATCTCTGGCCGCTCATGGGCTGCAGAAGCGATCTAGACTCCTTTTGCCACCGGGAATCATGACGGTCTCAGTGCGAATCCTGCCAGATGAGATGATGCACATCATCAATTTCCCTGCATTTTTCACGACTACAAAATCCTCTACTTCGATCAATTGACCTTCAAAACGCCCATACTGCAAGTGACCTACGACAACAATGGCCACAGAAAACGATACCCTTCCTCTCCTTCCCCCACCCGCAAACGATGATCCTCCGTCCTTCGACTCCCATCCCGAATACTACGCCCCCGCAGCTCGCCAGCGTACGCGGCTGCAATCCGCCCCGAACCTACCGACCACAGACTCCTCCCCCAGAGGATCCCCCACCAACCCGTTCAGACCGCCCCAAAACAACCTCAATCAGCAAAGCCAAGACACGGACAGTGCATCCCTGCTTCCGGCCTACACGCCAGCCAAATACCGCGGCCATGCTACGGAGGAGGAATATCTGGCCGCCTTGAGGGTATGGGCGGAGGAGAAACTGTATACGCAGCCGGCGGACAAGAGCACGCTGGTGGGGTTCTACGGCGCGGAGACGATGAAGGAGCGGATCGCGAGGCAGCCGCCGCCGTTGAAGATGAGGATCGGGAGGAAGAGGAAGGAATCTAGGGCCGATGAGAGCGCTGTGCGGGAAAGGCAGGGAGCGCAGGAGGATGAAACGGTAGATGGAGAGATTGCGAGGGAGCGAGGGAATGGGGAAGGGGAGGGGAGACGTCGGAGAAGCAGTTTTGGGAATTGGCTGAGTCGGAAGAGGACAAATTGATGGGATTGAAGACGGCAGATTTGGCATTGGCGGTGTTGACGATGTGGGTATTTGTTCAATAGCTTTGGATAAGGGTTTATGCCTGTTTGTCCCGATTCGTGATACACGAAAGAGCTTCAGCATTATCCTTCTTGCCGCAAAGATCAAGTCGCGCAAAGATGTTGATGGCCCCCCAGTGGCAACGGCGAAGGGAGCATAACACATTTCTGAAAGGCGTACAACACGAATTGCTCATTCATAACACTTTCTCCGCCTGGGGCGTGTCATTCACTTCACTCTTTCAGGTATCCTATCCTCTCCCATCCTCATTCTTTCACTTCAACATGGCCAAGGAATTTTTGAACCAACTCCTCAGACTAGAAAACAGCATCAAGTTCGACAGCGGTCAACGCTGTATGATAGTAAGTTGTTTGTCTATTTTCCGAGCCGCTTTCCTTCATGATCGTGCCGTATCCACTTATCCTGAATTGCGATACTCGTCGCAGATTCAATAAACACTCCCGGGACCTGTCTCGCGAAACTCATTTTTCATCCCAAGAAAAGCCTTGATAAATACTGACGCGAATTATGCGTCTTCCAGTGCCTGGAGGAATGTGGGTCGTTGTCTTCCCATACCGGTATCATCGAATGCTTGATGCGCCTTCGTACGTATTTTTGGAGCCCACATTTTCCCTGCTGGAGCGAATCTTGAGTCTTGGGACATGTCTCGGGAGTCTTTACTCTCGAAAAATATTCCAGGGCTCGATCTACCTCCTCAAATAGGCAACACTGACGGCGAAACGTAACCTAGCATGCAACCACCTCGTCGGCTCTCACTGCGTCGCCACTTGGCTTCACGACCATAACACTTGCCCCGTATGCAAAGTGTATTTTTCCCAGCGCGGCCGCGACCCTACCTCGAGTATGGAATCACGCAAGGCGATGGTGCTGATGATGCTAGCGATGACGATACCGACGACGACAGCGAAGAAGAAGACGACGACGACGACGACGACGACCAAACCTGCCTTAATCGGTTGGCAAGAAACACAAGATGGTCCTCCCACCGACTCGGCCTCAACTACGCAGCACGCCGACTCGCACACCTGATCGCGAGACGTGCATTCCACATGGACGAACTCCGCGATTGCACCCAGTGGTCCAAAGCCGCCGTCCCCGTCTTCGTCGCCTCGCACCTCGTCCGCCATCCTGTGTCTCCGGAGCAGATCTCTACCGTCACAGCGATCACCCGGCGCGCAATCCTCGATACGTACAGGCTGTTCTACCCCGAGCGGGAAACCGTCATCGACAGGGAATGCCTCTTCCTCTTGCGCGAGGATCCCCGGCGTGCCGCGGTGGGGAGCCTACCGAGTCTGGCATGGCCTCCGCCGGGGTACACCGATGCGTTCTGGGAGATCATAGCCTCCAGGCTCGAAATCGGGCACGGAAGCAATGTCATCGAGGTTTCTCGCCAAGTCTTTACAGTATTGGTGGATAGGCCGTACTTCGATGCCCACAGTGTTATGAATATTGCAGCTTTGAGTATCTACCTCGCCTCATGTTTGAGACATTCTCCTATATCTTGCCGACAGATAGCCTCAGCGACGGGTGCAAGTGAGGGTGACATCCGCACCATTTATACAGTGTTCTATCCTCATCGAGAGGACCTTCTTGAAAATCGAACGGTTGACATTAGGCGGACCGACATTTTCGAGAGTACCCTTAATCTTTTGCCTCGAGAAGTGCCATCACATGTTGAGTAGTGAAGGATCATCGATGGCGCGGACATTGCTCTGTAAATCTATTCGATCTCTGCTTGCAGCTAGAGAAGCAGATAATCGACCAAGGTACCAACGATCAATTGTTGTTGGGCCTTTGGAAAGATTGTGGCTGCCGTGCAAGCCCACTGTTTTATTATTTTCGAATTTCATCAGCAATGTTCCCTGAAGGAAAAATGCTAGCTATCGAAATGCGGTTCTCGTAGTGTCCGCAATGTCCAGGTCAGCTTAAAAGGCCCACGGTCGTCACCTGAAGGTAGAAAGGACAAGACACAAAGGCGTGTAGTAAGAAAATCAGCGGTCGACAGTATGAATGATAGCAAACAAGGATCGTGTTTTGTGACTTTTCGGTGCTCAAGCGGCTAGTTCATGGAAGATATTGGATAATCAACGAACCAGGTCTTCTTCCTATCGGTCGACTTCGTCGTCTTCTTATTGGCAGCAAAAGAACGTCTACTCGAACATCTACGGCAACATTCGTGGACATAGCAGAATAAAGACTCTCCCTCCATATTCTCCATATTATGATCCTGTTAAGCTCGCGTTCAGTATATTGAAGCCCTAAATGAGATCGTTACTTTCAATTCAACTTCGAAGGATCGCTAAGGCATGCAATTTAGCATAGTGAATGCCGTAGACAGCAGAGTATCAACATCATGCTGCTGGAGGGTGTTAGTCTGAAGATAATTGTGAAGCTTTTCAGCACGAGCATAAATGAAGACCCGTCTCGATGGACGAACCACAACAAGAAGCCATTACCAGGGCCAATTCTGCGGGCGAGGAAACTTAACTGAAGAGATAACAGTCAGAAGAATCAATACGACATCAGATGATTCCCAATTATCGATTCTCGTAGTCTTTGCAACATGTAATCAGTCACTGTCGATGATCCCATACAAATCTGTATGGATGGAGGGAAAAGCTAGGATGCCAAGCTCTGAAATGCGTTTTGCACACGCTAAATGTTCCGCTTGCTCAAGGTCCACACCTTTTTTGACCAAATCCGTTGCTCAGTCATCCACTTACTTGAGTTCCTTCATTGTGTCTTTGCTGGTGTGGACTTGACTTTCATCGGAAAGAGGAGCCGAAAGGTGCTACTCCGCTGCTACGACTCGTTTTTTCTTTGAGAGACCTTCTGAGCCAGAAAGTGGATTTCCCTCAATGCCGAACTGGTCATGGTCTTCTCCCATCTCTGAAAGTGGCCCGCTGGCGATGAGGATAGCGCTTGGTTGCTCCTCTTCTTCGCTGTTATTATGTAGTATTGCTTCATCGTGGCCAGCCTCGTCATTGTCACTGTCATCGTTGCTACCACCAAAGCCTTCCATTTCCACAAGCCACCACGGCGCGACGGCTCCCAGAATACCAAAGCACCCCAGAATCCACCAGGGCAGGATCCCGTAACCCTTGTCTACCCCAACTGTGAAACTATAGCCTCCTATTGCAGGTCCTACTGCCCGTCCGATGGCACTGATACTTACAGCCACACCGTTCAAGGTCCCGAGTATGCGCAGAGAAACGGCACTGTTGGTCAGGAGGATGGTGGTGCACGGAAATGCAAAGATGCCTGCCCAGCATTTGATCATCATAACGGCAAGTAAACCGATTTGTTGTGTCGTAGGCGTCGGGAGAAGGGCGGTGAAGGGTGTGATGATGTAGGCAATCGGAAATATAGTCGTAACAACTTTGAGACATGGCAGGACCCCATAATGTCGAGCCAGAGATGGCTTGATTGTGATTTCGGAGTCAGTATTGCCTGTTCAAGGGGTTTCATTGAGCCTTGGAACATGTCTACAGAGTAGAAACTCCTAAGACATGCCTCAAGACTCAAGGCTTTGGGAATAAAGGAGGAGGGATGGACTCCGAAAATACATACGAAGACGAAGAATTGTATGAGCATGCCAAAGACCCCGTAGACTGTGAAAAGAAGACCAATGCGATCCGAGTTTAAGCCAAAGCCGCCGGTGAACTTGAAGGGTAGATGAACATCTGGATTCATGGAGCGGTCTGTCTGCTGGGGGTAGTGCATAAAAATGGGGAGTAGCTGGTCGTATGCGAGAGAGTGAAGTGCTAACAGGCTGTATGTCAGAAGGTTCAAGTTGGATTGCCGTGAGAATACTTCTCGGTAGGTCGGAGGTGCTACTACAGGGACGGCCTTGCGGTTTCCTTGAGCATCGGTGTCAGTATCGAGTGAAGCCGCCGAAGAGTTGCGCGAGTGCTTCAACAATGAGGCCGATCGTTCCTCTTCAAGTGACCATTTTGGCCCAGGCTTCTTGCGTGTGAATGGTAGCAATAGAATATCGCCCAAGATGATACCGTAGTCCCGTCGATCTTTCTTGGTCTCCAATGTCTCTTTCAAAAACAGTGTCCCCTAAATCTCAAGTTCGCCGTCAGTATTGCCTATTTGAGGATGTACATCGAGCTTTGAAATATTTCTCGATAGTAAAGACTTCCAAGATATGTCTCAAGACTCAAGAATTGCTCCACAAGGGAATATATGGGCTCCGAAAATACGTACGACCATGAGACCAACAAGGAAAAAGGCGGCTCCCACAAGGTTTGGCAGTGCAAATTGGTATGTCCCGAAGAGCCCACTCTCACCGAACACCATTGGATATTTCAACGCAGGATTTGCGAGAGCGCCCCCTAGACTAGGCCCAAAGATGCTCCCAATGGTCCACACAAGCGGCATAACTGAGAATGCTTTGGGTTGTAGCTCTTTATAAGGTACCATCTCTGCAACCATGGTTCTGATGATGCCTACGTTACCACAACTTGCACCAGCCAGTGACCGAGCTACAATAGCCCATACAAGAGTTCGAGAGAAGCCGAAGAGGAGACTTGTTGTCATGATACACATCATGGCAACCAGTGTGACAGGCTTCCTACCAAAGCGATCTGATGCCTGACCCCATGCAATGCCCGTGACAGCTTGACTCAGAGAGTAGACTGCTGATGTGACTCCCGCCCATTTAGACACCTCATCTCTGGGTATGCCGAAGCTCTCAATCATTTCTGGGAGATAGGGGACTATGAAGATTTTGGAATTAGTCTTCCTTCTTCGAGATGGAACCAATGGCTTGAAGGAGCACAAGTTTGTTTTCGCTCCCGACACGATTTGTGACTCATGCTATGATGTAAATTAGGAACAAAATGCTCAGAGATATACATACAGACCGAGGTCAATGAGATGGGTTCAGCGAAGCGGCATATTGACAGGATGAGCAGCTGTTGAACGGGCAGCTCCCGTGCTATGTTTTCTTTGACCATTTGATAGCTATGCTGTAGGTTCTTCTCGCACTTTCCCAACCTTGCATGCTCGCTGATCCATGTAGTAGTGAAGCAAACCAAAGTCTGCAGTGACACAGTACAGTGGGTTGAAGAGTCAGAGTAATGGCCGATGTTAACCGGTCAGGCTTAGCAATCCGGAAATCCAGGGCCCACCTTCCCAGCATAGGGCAGGTGTAGTCGCAGTCAAACACTTTCATCTTCATCCTAGACACACACACTTCAGGATAAAGAGATGTTATCATATCACAGAGCTAGACTGTGTGCTGTGAAGCAGCTACCTAGATTGACTGTTCATAAAGAATTTGACGTGAAGCTACGGAATAGATACTAAAAACACGCCACACCAAGGAGCCAAGTCAGGTTATTCTGTACCGAAAATGCCAAGATTTTCTTACTGCGCTAAGGACATGCGGCTCAAAGACCGTGCGTGGTGTCTGGAATTTCCCTTCACTTAAAGTAGCCATCAACACTGGCCTCAACTCATCACCTTCCTTTCATCTTTGTCTTGCACAGCTGTGAAGGAGCTACCTTCCGACCACGTTCTTTTTATGTTGGCCAGGGTGGAGAAGGCCTGAGACTTGCGCTGCGGCCGCGCGCAGCTCAATCATCTTTGCCTCTGCACCTCCTTAAGTCTCAGGTCGACTAAAAAGACTCTGAAGGGGCCTTGCAAAATCAGATTCGGTGTTCGCGATCATGTCTACATACGATGAAACCTACGATGATGCATACCTCGAGGAGGAAGAGGAGGGGATCACAGCTGAGGACTGCTGGCAGGTCGTCTCATCCTTCTTTGATACCAAGGGTTTGGTATCGCAGCAGCTGGACTCTTTCGACGAATTCGTCTCGACTACGATGCAAGAACTGATTTCGGAGAATTCGCTCCTGACACTCGATCAAAATCTGCCACAATCAGAAGATGAGCCGGAGGCCCCAGTGCTCAGGAGGTACGAAATCAAGTTTGGCACTGTCCTGCTCTCACGACCTGCAATCACCGAATCTGATGGTAGTACCATGACGCTATTCCCGTTCGAAGCGCGCGACCGAGGTCTTACATACTCGAGCCCTCTATACCTTGAGATGACCATGAAGAAGTCGATAGCACGGGAAAAGCCAATCTTGGAACCCAGTGATGAAGAGATTGCTGGTCTAGAAGGCGACTTCATCCAAAAACCGACTGGCGGCACATACCTGCATTGGGAAAATGAGGACGGAGAGCCCGATCCTGAACCCATCAAGGTCTTCATTGGAAAACTACCGATCATGCTGAAGTCCAAGTATTGCGTTTTAAAAGACATGCCAGAAGAAGCGCTGTATGCCTATAGCGAGTGCCCATATGACCAAGGAGGATACTTCGTAATAAACGGTAGCGAAAAGGTACTCATCGCGCAGGAGAGGAGCGCGGCCAACATCGTACAAGTCTTCAAGAAGGCTCAAAGCAATACACCATACGTTGCTGAGATCCGAAGCGCTGTCGAGAAGGGCTCAAGACTCATCTCAAGTATGCAGATGAAGCTGTATGAGAAGGGCGAGGGTTCCAAAGGCGGCTTTGGCCAGACCATTAAATGCACGCTACCATACATCAAGACCGAGATACCAATAGCCATAGTTTTCAGAGCCCTAGGAGTTGTCTCCGACGAAGACATCCTCAATCACATCTGCTACGACCGCAAGGATACACAGATGCTGGAAATGTTGAAACCTTGCATTGAGGAGGCCTTTGTCATACAGGATCGCGAAGTTGCCCTCGATTTCATTGGCAAACGAGGCAACTCTCAAGGAGTCACTCGCGATAAGCGTATCAAGTACGCGCGGGACATCATGCAGAAAGAGCTTCTACCACATATATCCCAGGTCGAAGGTAGTGAGACGCGAAAAGCGTTCTTCCTTGGCTACATGGTTCACCGTTTGCTACAATGTGCACTTGGCCGAAGAGAGGTTGACGATCGAGATCACTTTGGCAAGAAGCGGCTCGATCTGGCTGGTCCTTTGCTTGCAAGCCTGTTCCGCGGAACTTTCAACAAGCTGACGAAGGATGTCTACAAGTATTTACAGAAATGTGTGGAGAACAACAAGGAGTTCAATATGACGTTGGCTGTCAAGTCCACTCATTTGACCAATGGTCTGAGGTATTCGCTCGCTACTGGCAATTGGGGAGACCAAAAGAAGGCGGCCTCTGTAAAAGCCGGTGTCTCGCAAGTGCTCAATCGCTACACCTTTGCCTCCACACTGTCACATCTTCGACGAACGAATACACCCATCGGACGCGACGGCAAGATTGCTAAACCACGTCAACTACATAACACCCACTGGGGCCTGGTCTGCCCTGCCGAAACTCCTGAAGGCCAAGCCTGTGGTTTGGTGAAGAATCTGGCCCTCATGTGCTACATCACAGTCGGTACGCCGAGCGAGCCAATAGTTGATTTCATGATTCAGAGGAACATGGAGGTACTAGAAGAATATGAGCCCCTGAACTCGCCAAATGCTACAAAGATCTTCGTAAATGGCGTCTGGGTTGGTGTCCACCGAGACCCTGCGCACCTTGTGGGCACTGTACAGAATCTTCGGCGAAGAGGCTTGATCTCTCATGAAGTCAGCTTGGTCCGTGACATACGAGATCGAGAATTCAAAGTCTTCACGGATGCAGGAAGAGTTTGCAGGCCGCTGTTCGTTATCGATAACGACCCTAGGAGTAGCAATCGGGGTAATCTTGTCTTGACAAAGGACCACGTTCAAAAGCTCGAGCTGGACAGAGAGAATTGGGCTACCACGGAGCCTGATGTCAGAGAAGAGGCGGATATGGGATGGCAGGGATTGGTCAAGGAGGGAGTGGTGGAGTACGTGGATGCTGAAGAAGAGGAGACTATCATGATCGTCATGACACCGGAAGACTTGGAGATTTCACGTCAGCTACAAGCAGGATATGCAATGCCAGAAGCAAATCCAGATGAACTCAATAAGCGTGTCAAGGCACCTATGAATCCAACAGCACATACATGGACACACTGCGAGATTCATCCGAGTATGATATTGGGAATATGCGCAAGCATTATTCCGTTCCCAGATCATAATCAGGTAAGTTTGAATAATCGGATGATGGGATACGGTATTGACACAACTTTTAGTCTCCTAGAAATACGTACCAGTCTGCTATGGGTAAACAAGCTATGGGAGTCTTTCTTACGAATTATGAGCAGCGTATGGATACTATGGCCAACATACTCTACTATCCGCAAAAGCCTCTTGCTACAACGAGATCGATGGAATTCCTCAAATTCAGAGAGCTACCTGCAGGTCAAAACGCTATTGTGGCTATTGCCTGCTACTCCGGCTACAATCAAGAAGATTCCGTCATCATGAATCAAAGTAGTATCGATCGTGGTCTTTTCCGAAGTCTTTTCTACCGCGCATACACCGACCAAGAGAAGCGGATTGGTATGTCCGTTGTTGAGCAGTTTGAGAAGCCAATGCGCAGTGATACCTTGAAGCTCAAGCATGGCACATACGACAAGCTGGATGATGATGGACTTGTTGCCCCTGGTGTCCGAGTATCTGGAGAAGACATCATCATTGGCAAGACTGCGCCCATTGCGCCAGACGCTGAGGAGCTCGGTCAGCGAACGAAGCTGCATGTCAAACGAGACACTTCCACGCCATTGCGAAGCACTGAGAACGGTATTGTCGATCAAGTTCTATTGTCTACCAACGCAGAGGGCTTGCGATTCGTCAAAGTCCGGATGCGAACTACTAAGATTCCTCAGATCGGAGATAAGTTTGCGTCGAGGCACGGCCAGAAAGGAACCATTGGCATCACTTACCGCCAGGAAGATATGCCGTTTACTAGCGAGGGTATGGTGCCAGATCTCATCATCAACCCGCATGCTATACCGTCTCGAATGACGATTGCTCATTTGATTGAGTGTCTTTTGAGTAAAGTCTCCTCCCTGCGAGGCTTCGAAGGTGATGCTACACCTTTCACCGAAGTCACCGTGGACTCGGTCTCCAGGCTGCTTCGTGAGCATGGCTACCAGTCTCGAGGCTTTGAGGTCATGTACAATGGCCATACTGGACGAAAGTTGGTTACGCAAGTCTTCTTAGGGCCAACATATTACCAGCGCTTACGGCACATGGTGGATGATAAGATCCATGCTCGGGCCAGAGGCCCAGTGCAAATCCTGACTAGACAGCCTGTAGAGGGGCGAGCTCGGGACGGTGGTCTCCGTTTCGGGGAGATGGAGCGCGATTGCATGATCGCTCATGGTGCAAGTGCTTTCTTAAAAGAGCGGCTATTCGAAGTGTCTGATGCCTTCCGAGTGCATATATGTGACATCTGTGGGCTGATGACCCCTGTTGCGTAAGTGCACCATTCTGTACTTTCCCTGCTGCCTCCAGCACGTGCTTTACCCCACGAGGCAATGCGCATTGGCTACATTACGGGGAAAACATGATTGCCAAGACTATGAGCTAACAGAAACACTAGCAACCTCAAGAAAAATTCGTTCGAGTGCCGACCTTGTCACAACAAAACGAAGATCTCCCAGATCCACATCCCATACGCAGCCAAACTACTCTTCCAAGAGCTAGCTTCCATGAACATTGCAACAAGGCTCTACACGAAGCGCTCGGGGGTCAGTGTCCGGTAGGTAGCCTTGTGTGAATAGCTACTAGGCAGCACAAGGCTATGGGGCTACAAGAATTCGTTATCACATCTAATATCTACTCCGCTTCGAGAGACCTATCAGGGCCGACCACAGGCAGTTTTGTCTCAAGGTGCCTTCTGACGCCACCTCGGCGATTTTTGGTGAAAAGGATCTTTGTGAACATTGCGATGGCGCTGGAAAGGTCGGATGATCTCAATGTGCATGATTCCATGCAAGGACGGAGCAAGAAGCAGGGTTATGAGAGGGATCTCCTCTGCATGCTTTTCTTCTGCCCTGTGCGATATGTAAGACTAGAGCGAAAAAGGTACCGTAGGATAGAAGCAATGAAAACGAACGTTGATCAGGACAGATGGACAAAGCATGCAAGGTCCGGGCGAAGAGGAAATACGGTAGGGTTGGAGAATCTTTCATGGAAAGGTGTGCCTCATGCATGTAGACGCTGAGGCTAAGGGATGCTGTCAAGATCTTAGCAGTGATTGGAGGAATGTTCACTTAGTATGGGCCACCCCAACGCTAAGTGCCACCCCAACACCAATTTTTTCAATAATTTAAACCATCCATCCCCCACCTATCTACCACAACCACAACCATACCTAACTTATATACCGTTATTCAGAAACGTATCCAGAAGGCTTTAGCCACTATTACCCCCGGAATAAAGCCTAAAATCACTCGATTAACTACTAAATTCAATGTGCCCTACGATTAGCTCCTAAATCGCTATAATAAGATCCCCTCTAAAGATAACTACTCTTACGCGCTTACAGATTATAAAGAATAGACTCTTTATTAATATATATAACGACTCGATAAATTAAGAATATCTTATCGTCGTTCGATACTTAAAAGAGCTATAAACTCTATACTCCGCGAGCTCTTAGCCTTATTAAATACGTAGGTAATTATTAACCTACGCGATTTTTAAGACATAATCCTTAATATAAAATATATAAATAAAAGCCTCTTATAGCTTAACGAAAGAATATATATAAATTAGAAGCTATTTAGAACTAATTTTAACGTTTTTAGAGTATTTATTAAGAGTTTAAAGTATAAATAGAGAATATTTAATAAGATTAAATTTCAAATTAGAGTAAATAAGAGTTAATAAATTATTATAAAAGAAAGAGAACTTTTACTTTATTAAACGAATGCGGATAATAGAGAGTATATTATATTAATTAAGTATATTAGTAGCTTAGATTATACGCTTCCCCCGATACTAATTTTAACTAAAAAATAATATCTTAATAATTAATTTTAAGAGAGTCTTAATCTCGATACTCTATAGAATATTAATAATATCGAATACGTAAACGATAATCTATATAAGGCCTGAATTAAGTATTTTAATTATTTTACGAAGAGAAGACGTATAAAAATATATAGATTATTACTATTTAATAATTATAATAGTTATCTTACTAGAGAAGTACTTAAATATATAAAGAATAATAATATTATTCTATTCTATTTACTTTTATACTCTTTATATCTATATTAATTATTAAATATAAATATCTTTTAGCTATTTAAATATTAATATATTAATATAATTAATATTATAATACGTTAAGCTAGCGATAATTATTTAAAACTCGATTTTTTAATTAATTTTTAAGTAATTTATAATCGAATCTTTACTAGATTAACTATTATATTTAAATAGCGAGAAATAAGCCTTTTTCCCTATAATTCTACTATTATTTTAAATCGTTTAATTAGATTTTAGCGAAGAAACTCTTTAATAAGAGATAAGACTCTAGAGTAAGAGATACTCGATTTTAAGAATTAGTCGATATTATATATCTATTATTAAGTTATATAATATAAAAAGAAATTATAAGATATATATTTAATCGATTAATAGCTTAATAGATATATTCGTAAAGATAGAAGCGAAGATACTTTTAGATCTTCTCGCTAAGCGAGAATTAAATACTATTTAATAGGCTATAATAACTAAGTAGCTCGTAAAGTAGAGTTTAATACGATAATTTAGAAAGAGAAGATATTATCTACTCTTATTAGGCCGAAATAAGATTACTATATATAAGAAAACGAAGGTTATAAAGGCTTTAAAGGCTTTAAAGTAAATAAATATCTAAGAGTCTCAGGTATATAATATACTTAGAAATAAGAAGATTAAGTAATTTAAGGCTACTATAACGAGGGCTAGATAGTTAATTAAGATTAGAAAAACTAGAGAGGCTAAAATAGATGATAATAGTCTATAGTATATATATATGTGGGTGGGTAGGTAAAATAATTGAAAAATCCGTATTGGGGCTGATCTCTGGGCATCTCTAGCTCCCTAAGTTGGCCCTAAAACTTGCATTCTATTTCCTACCCGAAGGATCGACTTGGATTTCCTAACTACTGGACCTCTGGTGACTATAAATTTGGAGCTGTAAGCGCCGACGAACGAGCTTCGAAAATGACCATCGCAGAGCGAAACTGTATCCAGACTAGGTGCATGCATGTCATCATGCTCCGAGAGATGAGTGGGGTGCCACCAATGGCAGCTCCATCTCCAATGCGGCCATAAGGTCTGCCAAAGGATAAGAAGCGCCCACCTCTCTCTCCCTCTCTCTCTTCCTTTCCTCTTCAGCAAGCCTTCAATTTCCTTGAGCTATCCTTAGTAATTTCTGCGTCCTTTGCGATTAAAAAAGAGCTGTGCTCTAAGTCCCTTGTCAATAATAGTCGCTTCTTCAAACATACTTACACGCAGTCCTTTTTTTAAACTACATTACTATCAACATTGTACATTGTCGCCGGTCGACAATTGTCTTTGCATAGCTCCATAGTGTCTTGCTCGCTCGCGCTTACGATTTGCCAGCATTTGTTTTCGCTTTGGCATTCGATATAGCACTTGCTCTTAATCTTATCCCCTTCTATTTTCAATACCAACAGTCGAACGTCTGCTTCAATCCTCCAACAAGCGCTCTGGTAGCCTTGTAATAGCAGCAACAACAACAACAACACACTCAGCCAGGTTCAACATCGATCCTACGCAAATCGACCTGCTCTTCGACTCTTATTCTTCCTTTCACCCTCCTCGCCGATACTGATCAACAACCATCGACGAGCAGCCCTTTTTACACCTTACCTTTTTAACACCATTTACAAACAATACAATCCTTAATCAGCAACAATCAACAATAATGTCTCAACTATCCTTCACCTTTACCACCAGCTCCAAAGTCAAGACCGCCCATCTCGTCGGTACATGGGACGGCTACAAGGGCCAACTTCCCCTCACTAGCCAAGGATCCGGCAAGTGGAAGGGCACCTTTCGCTTCTCCGAGAAGACGCTCAAACCCGGGAGCAGGTATTGGTACTACGTAAGTGATACTTGTTAACATCTCGCAACATCCCACCTACATCAATAACGACATTGACCAACATTTATCAACAGTACATCGAAGACGGCTTTAAACCCACATTCGACAAATCAGCCCGCTCTCAAGTCGAGCCTAGCACCGGCCGCACCCTCAACATCCTCGACGTCTCGAAATCTAGCTCCGCCTCCCTCTCCTCCTCTGCCGCTCCCTCCTCCACGCTCAGCAAACGCGGCTCCACACACGCTCCACACACAGGCCGCGCCCTCTCTCCATCGAAGATCATGCACCCCAAGCCAACCAAACCGTATGAATCCCGTCGCGTGCGCGAGGCAGACTATTCCGCCTCCCCCGGCATCGACGACTTGGCCGAACACCTCGAGAAGGCTTCACTGTACAAGATGCGCAATGTCTCTCCACCCTCATCCGTGGGATCTAGCCTGTCATCACGCAGCTCAGACCGCTCGTCGCCATCGTCACTGTCCAGTCTCAGCAACTCAAGCTCCTCAGACTCGCAATGCAGATGCCAACGCTACGGCCTCACTCGCGGCGGCGGCCGCGTCAAGATTGATTGCGGTGGCAAACGCTGCGGGTACTCGGACGACAGCTCATCAGCGTGTTCAAGCATCGATTCTGCGAGTGAGAGTGAGAGCGAGGAAGAGTACGAGGAGAGGAGGCCGAGAAGGCAGGAAGTTAAGCCTGCTGCGTATCATGAGAGTAAGCCAAGATACGTGGAGGCGAAGCCTAGGTATCAGACGATCGAGCCGAGGAAGTACGCGACTACTGGCACGAGCAGAGGGTCGCGGAGATGAATGCGTGCATGGTCGTTTTTGGATGTTTTCTATTAGGGGTGATGGTTGAACACATTCATTGTTTTCCTAACACCTACTTCTTCATCTGGGCTGGTCTTGGGTGACCACTTCGGCCGATACAGCGGCGTACACAGATGTATGTCTTGCTTTGATCGACACAGGCGCGTGCCAGACAATAAAGGCACGGAGGCAGCATGTCGTTGGCGAAGTCGAGGTGGATTGGCAAGATGAGATACCGGCATGCAATACTTGCTGGGCCTTTCTCAACATGGCATTTATGGATATGAGCATCTTCAGATGGTCAACCAATCCTAGGGGTCGAAGAAATTGATGGACGAAGAGGGTGGAAGAAGAAGCTTGTGACGAGGAGAAACCAAAATGTGGTCAGATAGTATAGCAAATCAACAGACTGTCTATCCGCATTCTCATATCCCGTTCAGGAACTGTGTAGCCTTACTCCTCTGGCTGTTTGCTCTTGGACTGCAGCAGAATACGTACCTAGGGCTTTCACCTCTGTCCACGAACGCCAAGATATTTGCCAAGACCATACTAGCGGCATCAACCGCCAAGCCATACTCACAACTCGAACAGCATTACCACCATACTTCTCTTTACTCACACCCGCAATGCTCCTCCGACGCTCGTTTCTCGCCGCTGGGCGACGGGTAATTGCAAAGCCCATTACGCCTCTTGCACCACGCACTTTCACAACGTCAATCGCGCGCCGTAAGCTATCCGCCCTTGCCCTTTGTCCATAGCTATCTCACAAGTTTGCATGCTAATTGCAATTGCCATGAGCAGGAGCAGCGGGAGATGGAGATCCAAAACCAGGCGAACCTGATAAGAAAATGGTTCCTTTCGAAGGTACTTGACACCTCCCCAGTTCCCCATCACCCTCCCTCGGCGCTCGCCGTCACACTCAAAAAACCCCCTACTCCTACCTCATCTCTCTCTCTCTATTACTCTTCTACACCCCAACAGTATATTGATTGCCTCCCCTCTTCCACAGACATCAAGACAGAAGAAGACCTCCTCCCCCCCGGAGCCGAGCCCGGTACCGTCGCCACCGACCTCGACCAATCCACCGGTCTCGAGCGTTTCGAAATCCTCGGTAAAATGCAAGGCATTGACGTCTTCGACATGAAACCGTTGGATGCTAGTCGGAAAGGTACAGAACTCGCTTCTACTTCTGCGAAATCCTTTACTATAGTAGATGAAACTACGCTTATCGGCACTACGCTGTGCGAGTGTGGTCACAAGACTTGGAGAGCCTGCGTGGGCGGGGGTTGGTGTTGGCTCGACGGGACGTGGGGGAAGGAGGGGACGAAGACGGGGCGGGAATTGACAGAGTGGACTTGGAGAACAATGATGAGAAAAGAGCCGAGAGAGTGTGGGAAGGATTAGGGGTGTTAAGGGAAGAGGAAGACGGCGACGCCACTCCACTCGCACAGCATTGCGATTTAGTGTCATTGAATGGGATGATAAATGAGGAATTGACCATGGAATACATGAAGGCTAACGCACCAATAATAAAACAACAGGCACCCTCGACGACCCCATCGTTCTCAAATCGGCCGGCGACGAACAATTGGCCGGGTGCACAGGTTATCCAGCCGACAGTCACGTCGTACTCTGGCTCAACGTACGTCCTCACAACCTCCAGCCCTACATCCTCCTGCCTCAGGCCAAACCGCACTACCCCACCATTCCACCTGGCTCCCTCCCTCCCTCCCACCTTCCCACACGAGCAGCTCGCTGACCCCTCCCTCACCCGCAACAGATGTCCCGCGACCGCCCCGTCGAACGCTGCCCCGAATGCGGCGGCGTCTACCGCATGGAGTACGTCGGGCCGCCCGACGACCCCCACGCGCACCACGGTCACGGCGAAGAGCACGGCGACGGCGCGCACAATTACGTCGAGCCCAAGACGTTTGCGGATTTTGTGAGACCCGAGTATAGGGGCACGCCGCAGCCGCATTATCGGCAGCGGTGAAGGGGATGGGCGTGGAGGAGGAAGGGGGTGGAGCCATGGAGGGTGAGGGGGATTAGGTGCTATGGGTGTGTACATATGTTAGCCTGGACGGAAGCGCGTGTTAGATGAGGAGCAATTCAAGCTTTCGCTGTTTACAGGCTCTCAATCCCTTCACCAACGCACTTTTTGGTACTCGTCTATAGCCCTGGCTTATTGCACAAGTTGGAGATGACGCTTGATTTCTTGCTATTGGACTATCGCACAACGTACCGCTCTCCCCCACCCCTAACGCCATTTTCTCAGCCGCTGCCTCCTCATGACCAAGCCTCGCGCCCACCAATCCATGCCTCATGAACATACTACTCGGCTTCTTGCCCCCCTTGCCCAACATGGCATACTCCATCCTCCCCACCTCTTCGTCAAACCGTCGTCTCAAACGCCTAAGCGAAATTATCCTGCCTATCGACCCAAATATCCTCCAACTCAGCAAAGTTCTGGAAATGCAACGGCCTATGCACGTCCGCGTAGAATCCGATCGGCACATCCATCTTCACCGGCACGGGCTTCTTCTCCACGCCTGAGAAGCTGGCGCCCATGAAGCTGTAGTTCCAGGTGTTTTGCTCCGGCACCAAGAAATAACCGCGGATCTTATCGCTCAACAATAGTTGGGTCTTCTCGCCCATGCCGGAGGTGCTGAAGCCGGAAGGCATGTCGGACCCCAGGTCTTTGTTCTCGGAACCCCATTTGTAACCTTGAGGTGTTAGGGCCCAGGCGGCGAGGGAGACGGAGCCAGGAGTGAAGGAGACGGTCATTGTGACTGTTTTCTTGTCCCAGCTCGAGTGGGAAGACATGAGGCGCGCATGATGGGTTACGTCTGCGGATGTCATGTAGGGAGGTTCGTTGCCAGCCACTGTGTGTATGATACCCAAAGGCTCCAGAGAAGAGAGGTTGGAGTGTTGCGGTAGTTGATGTGGGAGCTGCACATCACGTGTATTACCGACTTGAGGTATCATGACTATAGTGCGGATCTCCTTCACCTGGTCATTGTCAGGTGGCGAGGAACCGTAGAGGTAGCCAGCTACCTGGACACGGAGATCGGCGATGGTGATGAAGCGCTTGAGAATGTTCTTGGGCATGATGTAGGTATGATGGCCTTCTTCGTGGATATCGTCAGAAGAGATGTAGATGTTGTTGGCACGGGTGCGCAGGTTGGAGGTTGCAATGGCTCGGGTACGCCATTCTGTTTTGGAAGCGAAGGATTGTTGCTCGAATTGCGAAGTGGTGGTCACGATAATGTCTTCACCGTGGACATTTTGAGTCTTGGTGGTGACGGCAGTGAGCTGTTGCTGTTCTTGCTGCTGCTTCTCGATCTCGGCAGCTTGTTGGCGCTGCATGGATGGGGCACTGATCTCCATACCCAGGATGATGTCTCGGATTTCACTGGTGGTCAAACTGGAGGTATTGACATTGTTCTTCTTGCCGTAATCATTGAGGATAAGATCTCGCAGTTGCACTTCAACCTTGATCCAGTCTTCGTCAGACAGGGTGGGCCAGATGTGGTGCTCCTTGGTGATCACAGTCTTGTCAGGTCGGAGCAGCAGCTTCGTCTTGTCTTGATTGACATGCAGGGCACGCAGGATGAGGATCAGTCGCGAGAATGCAGTGTACGAAGAGATCGTCTTGAGCCACTCGTCGTAGAGATTGAACAGCATCATCTTTGGCTCCGTAGCGCGCAGTATCATATCACCCAACTTCTCGACCTTCATTGCAGCCTGGAAGGGCAGCTGGAGCTCGGAAGCTCGAATCGAGATATTGGGAAAGTCAAGCAGATGCACTTCCAGGGGATCCAACAGACCCTTTCTGGTGACAATAAGTTGCTTTGGCTGCTCTTCGACCGGCAGCGATCGAATCAATGCAGCCACTTCCTCTGCAGTCTTCCATTTCGCTAATTGACCCAAACGCTTTTGACCAGCCCAGACACTCGTGTGAATAATCTTCAGGAACAGCTGACCTGTCCTAGGGTTGAAGATGAAGATGGCGCCGTTGATAGGCTTCGTTGTCAGATTTCCTTCGAATGTCTTGTGAATCGTGACTCGGTAGACATTGGTATCATCGATAAACAGCTGGATCTGGTTGCTGAAAAGTTCAGAATAGTTCTGCGAGTTCAAAAATTCCTGGTTGCTCTCCGATGCATACAATTGCAGACCCTTTCGGATACGCTCCCTTAGCACATACAAAGCAGGGTTGGCCTTCATAACTTTGGCCATGGCTTGCTGGACGAGCGTCTTAAGACCAGGGAAGTATTGACCATACGCAGAGTAAAGATTGTATGCAAGATCAATACCAATCATCAAACCAGTGGCAGACGGGTAGATACTCATGCTGTCGGTGGTGTAATCTAGGTATTTCGCACGCACGTATCGCTCAATATCGTGAGAGTCGTAGTCACCATATCGCAGCTGGACGTCGACCCAGAACTTGTTGGTGGTTGTAGGCTCTGTGATGTCCTTAGTGTCGAACAGGATCGATGGTCTTGTCACGTTCCATTTGTGTGTAGCGAAGAGGAGGATATCAGCGCAAGAGCTGTTCATCTTGTAGGACTTTCTCGGATGGATTGTCTCCTTTTGCACCGTCTCGATACCCAGCTGATCTAACTCTTGATCAAAGACCTGGCACAAATCCATAACGACTGACTCGTGAATCTTCTGCCACAGATGGGCACGGAAGATCTGAATCAGCGAAATCTTCAAAGTGGGAATCTTGCCATGCAAGAAGATACCAGTCAGATCAAGTTGCACCTGAAACCCGACGTAGACGTTGGCACGATTGATCGTAGGCGACCACCAAAGCGTGAACCGACGATTAGGAATCTGATTGAGACCGGAACGTTGGGCATTGGTCAACTTCTTGAACTTCATAGATTCTTCGAAACCGGAAGCTTTCTCCCAAAAGAGACCTTCCCATGATGGGAAAGCCGTGGCCTTGAATAGCGTGTGCTCAAGGATAGTCTCAACACCACCAAGAGCTTGAATGACATCTGTTCGGTAGGCGTTGAGATTCCAGAGCTTTCCGTCGTGGCGCTGACTGGTCCACCAGAATGGATTGCTCTTCATCAGCTGGTATGTCTTGAACTCAGTACGAGCCCTGAAACCCTTGTCGAAGCTTAAGGTGCTTCGATCTTTCTGGAACAAGGTATTGATACGTGGCAGACCGCGATCCCAGCTGTCCTCCAAGTCTTCAAGTGTCAGTCTTCGGTTCTGCTGATTGGCTTCTTGGCGCTTCTGGGAGTACTCGGTCCAAACACGCTGCGAATCGATAAATTCGGCTTCCCATGGGATGATGTATCGGAAGATGTTGGGAATGAGAGTCTCCTCATCATGGCTCATACCAGATCGGTAATGCGTGACGCCTACGTCCGTCTGCTTCGACCATCGCTTGTCGCTAGTTGGGATGAGGATGTGAGACCCAGAAATCATACCGAGACCTCCGAGCTCCTTTGGCGTATAAAACACTGCAGGCGGGAATCTTGAAGGCATCTTGGAATTTAGACCGATCTTGACACGAGTCTGAATCTTAGTCTCGCACTTGACGATGGTATCGAGTAGGTTGACGGTCGAAACCGCCGCTTCACGGTAGTAAGTGAACAATGCGATCAAACTAGTGTTCCATTTGTTGGCAATCTTCGTAAACGTAGTAGAGCCAGAGGACATCAAGATTTGTCTGATGCGGTTGTTAAACTTCTGAATGTCCTCCTCTGTGACCTGTAAGAACGCATGAGCAGTTCGCTCCTTTGTGGTGTTATCCACAAGCGACCAAACACTGTCCTTGACAGGGAACTCCTCATTGAGGTTCCGAGTCTTGGGCAGGATGCGAACTTCGAATCCACTCATCGAGAAAAGCAAATTAGGATTGTCTCTGCTGTACACGCTGGCGAATGTGTCGTCCCATTCGATGGTGGTGATTGATCTTGGCAATCGGTTCTTGAGATCCCAGAAAACAGCGCGGCCAAGATTGACGTCGTGCCTCATCAACCTCATCCTTGAATCTCGCGGCCAACACTTCTTGTTGCGATATCCAATTACGTTCTCAAAGTTGGGATCTGGCTGCTCTGTCAAGAAACGCTGGATGAGATCTCTTGATTCATCGGCAGAGAACCTCAGGAAGACCCAGATACGGTCAATGTATCTGGTGTATAGTCGGATAGGATGCCTAGTCTCTGTCTTGCGGTCTCTGAATTGCAAGAAGTCGTTGGGACTCTGAGGTGGGCCAGCAATTTCGCTTGCACGCTGCAGACCAAGCAGCAGCAGGTCAAGGACTAGGCCGTAGTATTGGAAGACAAAGGCTGAGAATTGCAGACCCCTGATCATCCCGTAGCTGTTGGTGTGGTTCATGTCCTTGTAATTCAGCTGCACATTGTTCTTTGACGTGATATAATCTGCCAAGTTATGGTCCATTATCAAGCGCAAAAGCCTGTTCAACAGCGTAAGATCGATCTTCTCATACACCTTCGAAAGCTGAGTCTCGATCATGACGTTGCACTCCCCATCGGCTGTCTCCCAAACACCGCCCAAGTTGTTGATACCTTGAGCCCATTTGTAGGTGAGTAGCGGTGGAACCTCCGAGTCAGAGGGCTTGATCCAGGCGGGGAACAAGTGTCTTTGATCAGCCTGGTACCAAAGATACTGGTCGAGGTAGGCATCGGTGATCTTCTCTATAGGCTCAATATCGTAGACAGGGTTGATGGAGCTGTAGTTGTCATTCATGTCAATGCCAACTTCCTTGAAAGCACGCTGCGTAAGCAAGAAGCGCTTAATACGTGTGAGTGTCGTTCCCGGAGAGTCGTAAGCCTGCTCGATTAGGGCAAGCTCTTCTCTTTGGTTTTGATTCAGACGACCCTTGACCGAGTATGCTTCTCGCAGTCGTTCCAGGGCCAGAATCAGGATCTTGGTGTCGTGCTTGTACGATACAGCGGGGAAAGGTATAGGAGAGTACTTTCTCGACTCGAGCCAATGAACTGTCGTGGTGTAGATGGCCACGGCTTCTTCCGACGAGACATAGGGCCCATCTTTCATATAGTTGTGCTGTCGCTCTTGCTCTGCCTTCAGCCACAATCGAGTGAGACGGCCGAGGTTTTTCTTTGCGACAGTCTTGTCAACAGTAGCACCTCTCCTAATACGCTCTCGATTGTAGTGGGCAACCGAAATCCACCAGTCGGCCTTGCTCTTGACATATCGCAGTATGATATTCTCAATAGGCGCAGGCAGGCCAGGCACCTTCCAAGGTATGTTACTCTTCCAACACCTCCAAGCTTCAGACAGATGTTGCAGCACGGTGTTGACCTTGTTCTGCTTGATACCTTCAGGCATCATGTCCATTAAGTCAGCCATGACAGAGGCACGAAGCTCAAGGTCGAAATGAGACTCGACTCTCTGCTTTGTGACAGTCTTAGCCACACCCTTACTGTGTCGACCCTCGAATTGTCGAGAAAGCAGGTTACCAAGCCACCTCTCAAGCAATGGGATGATACCGCGCATGAAGAACAGCCAGACTCTCCAGGCAGGTGCCCAGAAGCCGCATCCAGGTCCTTTGCCGACTGGGCCAGAATTGAACCGATAGTAGATCAGATGCTTTAAATCTTTGCATGATCGAATCTGGTGCATGAGCTTGTACTTGTATCGGTACATACCGGTAAGCTGTCCGACGTGGTTGAAGGCATACAGAATTCCATCGGCCAATTGAAAGGCGTCGATATTGCCGAGGCGGTACTGGACTTGAGCATCGACAATCAGCTTTGTCAGGCGCAAGATTTCCCGCATCAAATGGAAAGCGTTCCCGAAGCGCGACTTCTTTCGTTCTTTTGTCGTGAGCGTTTTAACAGGCTTCAGATTGAAGTTGTAGTCCAGATGAAGATACGTCAGGTTCTTGCGATGAATGAGGAGGTTCAGCATATTGAAGCCCTGCCTGCAGACCTGAAGACCGGCCTCGACCCAGTCGATCGTTGTCTGCTGAAAGAACTTCGTTGACCGGAGTGACTTCATCAAGTTTTGCTTATTTTGCGCTTTGGGCTTTTTCTTGTGCAGCTCATTCAAGACGAAGGTTTTCAGAAGCTTCTGGTATGAAACTCTGACTTTGACTGGTTGACCTTGCGGGCAATGCTCCAGATACCATTGCTTGACCAAAGGCACGTCTTGAGCACGCACCATCTTTCCAGACCGACGGTCAAAGGGGAACGGCGCCCACCACAGTGAGATGGCCGATGAGGTCTCGCTTGTGTAGAGTTCTTCGTCCGCCAAGAACGGCTCCATGTTACCAGGCAATGTGAATTCCTCGTCCTCCATGTTGCCGTGTCCAAAGATTTCATCTTCATGGCTGACGGTGATGTTTTTGGGTGCAACGGAGCGTGAAGATATTGGGTTGATGACAGGATCGAAGTAGAAGGCTGGAAGACTCGGGTCTTCAGCTCGGACATAGACCACTTGCGGATGGGAGTACCACGAAAGCTTAACGCTTCGAGGTAGCGAGTTGTATAGAAATGGGAAAGCCACGCGGTACTCAGTCCTGATAGGTGCTCGGAAGATGATGCGGTCGATCGCGTTGAATTCGCCGAAGTCTTCATCATTTGGATCAACGTCCTTGTAGAGTGGCTCGAACCTTGGGCCACCCGGTATGGCGACGTTCAAAGCCTTTGCCGTCTCAAAACTCGAAAGGTCGAACATATGAAAGTAGTTCTGATCCACCAGATCGCTCAACAGCTGGTGACTCAGCCGGTAGAGGGTGGCCATTTGCGGCAAACTTAGGTTCCATTCTTTGTAGCTTGGCCCGTTGACATGTGGAGTATCCAGGAGGGGTCGATGCTCGTAAAGCCAGTCGAGGACGGGTCCATCTTCAGCTTCGTCGAGCTCCATCTGGATCGGCTCTAATGGCTCCACATCTTCAATATTCTCCGACCACGAAAGCGGGGGCTCTTCGTCGTCAAAAGGTGGAAATCTCATCCTCTTGAAATGTCGTCTATCGCTCTTCTCCCTTCGCATGCACACCCACATCGTAGCCCACTGCGCATGAAAGACGGGCTCAATCACCCTCGGTGTTTCATTTACCATCGTCAAGCACCCGTTGACATGATATAGCACTTTCACCTCCCTCGCCGACTCCCAAGGCATGGGCATATTCTCTAGCAGTTTCAGCACCGCGTGCGGCATGAACTTCAAAGCACCTAGATAGCTCCGCTTGTCACTGCTGAATTTCTTCTGTGACACATCTCCAATATCCTTGACGATCTTCCGTAGATGCTCCGGTGGCATATCAGCTTTCTGTGTCTCCACGAATCCTCCCTTTCGCTTCTCCCCAAAGCGGTTTCGCTGCGACCGTAGCCATTCCTTCTTTTTCTGGGCGAACTTCGCGACTTGGGGATCGGCAGGCGGTTGGTAGCCAGGTGGTGGTGGCGCCGAAGGCATCGAGTGAGGTCCTGCTCCCCAGCCTGGCGGCGGAGGTGGCGGAAGAGAAGACATGGTGAATTGGTGATGAGTTGTTCTCGACTTCTATTCTACTTCATCAAGTATTGCAGAGGCGCGATGGAAGACCTGCTGGCGGAGCAAAGCACCTCTCAGATCTCAGATACGCTGCGGCAGCGACCCTATGCTATGAGCCTGCACGATTGTTGATAGCCAGATTGTCTCTTCCCTCATCTGCTATCACTCGGAGGGAGCGACTTCGTGATGGTGTTGGTGCTCTTCCAAAAGTGGCGGCTCTGCAAAAACGTTCGAGATACGCCAAGCCGCTAGATTTTAGCGCCTCGGCTATCAGTATCACACATCGCGAATTTTGGTCAAGCTCATCGACGACGCAAACCAACCTTGACCTCCACAGTAACCAGTGATCAAGTCGTCAAGATGGGTGCGAGGTTAGCATACGTGAGTTGTCTTCTATCACCCCCAGATAAGCCAATGCTAACGTTCTTGATGCGCAGCGACGGAGAAATCCGTAAGTCTCTCTGCGAACAGCAAGCCTGCCATGTCCAGGCCCCACGGATCGGGGAATGGTGACTGATGAGCTCCGACCAGATACAACACACGTTCCAACAAAGTCCGAATCGTCAAGACGCCAGGGGGAAAACTCCAATACCAGCACACCAAGAAGAAGGGCAGCCCGCCAAAGTGCGGTGACTGTGGCACCAAGCTCCCAGGCGTTAGTCCCCCCGCCCCCCTACACTCTTCCTACAAGCTCTACATCCACGAGATTTTCCTCTCCGGTCCCAAAATCCCAGGCGATCAAACCTGCTGACTCGCTGTCCGGGTCTCTAGATCCCCGCTCTCCGGCCCCGTGAATACGCCAAAATCTCCAAGCCTAAGAAAACCGTGCAGCGCGCATATGGGGGCTCGAGGTGTTCGAACTGTGTGAAGGATAGGGTCGTGAGGGCGTTTTTGATTGAGGAGCAGAAGATTGTGAAGAAGGTGCTGAAGGAGAATCTGGCGAAGAAGCGTTAAGAGGGTGGTGCATCAGGTGGAAGGGTTTATTGTGGTCGGCACGATGGCTACGATTGCATAGAAAACCGTTCAAGCTCGTATCCTATTTGATTGCCATGTTTTGTGATCATATGCTATGCCGACTTTCTAACCATCCTCGTTATTTCTCCGGCTATAGCCCCGGAACGCTACCATTATTCAGGCTGTTCGATCCACCAAGATCCATTGGTTACCGTTGTTGTTATTATACGCCTTCTTTTCTATTTCGGCATTATTCTCCTTCCCACACGCACCGTCCTTCACCGACCCCTCCGCGTATCTATAACCAGCCACCACATCACAAGTACGAGCTGTGCACCCGTTTGCTGCATGGAAAGCTGGGTCAAAGTCCTGGACAGTGCCGGTCGTGAAAATCGGAGAATAGCTATCGGAGTTGTCACAGCGCATTCTCGCAATCACATCAACATGGCCGTATGCAGCATTGCCATAGATGGTATTGCTACCACTACACAGGTCAGCTATTCATCCTTCAACCCACCGTTGAGCTCTTCGGCTTACGAATAGTCAGAGACAGCACAGTCCATCGGCGGACAAGTGAACCAAATCCGGTATCAGACCCCGTGAATCTGATCCGCCTCCTCTTCAACAAATTGGCAGGGGCCAAAGCAGCGAGAGCAAAACCAAAATCCTTGCTCAACAAACCGAAAGTTGAGACATCAGTCCCCCCTCAACCAGCGAGCCCGGAAACCAGTATCCTACCGTAGATTGCAGACAAGAAGAGCCACACGACGAGACTCCCTCACCTCACCAGGGCACTCGTGTCTTCATCTCTGCCAACACAAGCGAACAAGATGTCGGGCGTGGAGCGGACTTTCTTGCTACAAGCAACAGCATGAGCCGCAAGTTTCATACTAATCTTGAGGGACCAGGGGTGTTAAGCTCACCAGAGATCTATAACCGCATCGTCGTACCCATAACGGGAAGACAACACGACGGGTTCGGAGCCATCTCTATTGCTTCAGGGACTTCGTCAGCCCCCATCTAGAACGCGGTGCAAGTAGGGTGAGGTTTGACTCACTCGATTTGCACAACGAAGATCGCACTGCGTTTCGATGGATTACAGGATACAGTTGGCGTCAACATGGTCTCTGTCTGATTGGGTGACGGTCCTGGGATGGGCTGGTGTCGATGATCCGGTGCAGTTTTTCGCCTACCAGATCGATCGTCTGATCGAGGATGTCGGTAAGAGAGGAAGGTGTCTGAGGAGCAAGAGCAAGTAGAAAGAGTAGAGGAATGGATTTAGAGCCGCGATTGCCGAGCTGCAGTGAATGTTGCTACGAAATGGTGCAGATGAATACAACACAAGGCGACTGGTGTGCTACAATGCATATCGGCCCTCAGTTATGCACAGTGAATGTTTATAGATTAGTGGTGAAGATGGAGCCAAAGTCCCTTCCATTCAGTATCTCGCAGACTTTTATCTCGCATGCATCGCCGTAATTCTATTGATCTTCATAATGACCAAGTCCAAATGCATGCAAGTTCGCAAATCCAAGCCGCTTCGAGCTTTCCAACCTTTCTCCCTTTTTCACACCTCAAATCTCCAACACTCTCATCATCTGTGCTGCTTCCGTCATCACACACTCCTTTGACATCTCCGTCAGATAACTCCGCTCAAGAGATGTACTCGCAATCGGCCAGACGTCTCCTCTTATCCGGTCCAGAGGTCCAGCCACCGAGTCCTCCAACACCAGCTTCCGCTTCTCCTCCATCTCGACAAGCCACTCGATGAGATCCAGCCGCCCCTCCATGATCTCGAGGACCACCCCGCCGCAGCCGTCGGCGTCGCCGGTCGCGAATCGCCACACCCCCGACGCGAAAGCCTCGCGGACGAAGTCAGGCCAGTAATCGACCAGGGGCACCACGGCACAAGGGATGTAGTCCACCATGGCGTACCCACGAGGTCCAAACGGCATTTCTTTCACCTTGGTCGTCAAGAAGTGCTTCTGGATGGTGGCGGGCTGTTCGCGGAAAGATCTGGCGATCGGGTCCGAGACGTCTTGGGCTCGCGTTTGGAGCTGCCAGATTGCCTGCAGAGCTTCCTGGCGTTCCTGCCCGGCCGCGTAGGTGAGGAGGACCGGCGTCGTTTTGGCGAGCTCGAGCATTCCTCGTCCCATGGCCTCGTCGCAGTACGGTGTCAGAATTTGGACGTCGAGGCCCAGTACCATAGAAATGGCGGTGTCCGACAGACTCATCCGCGTTGCAGCTGATTGTTTGATGCACTGTATCCCCTTGCTGATCTCTTGGTCAATGATTTTCCTCAGCGCCCTGATGTTGAGGGTTTCGTGATTTTGAGATGAAGGCATGTCTGATGTACGTCGTGGAGTTTGACGATAAGGTTGCCACGAACGAGTCATGAGCTTGAAATGGTGATAGAAAAGATGAAAGCAATGATGTTGAGGTGGTCCAGTGTTGGGCCGTGGTACCTTGACGGAACGATGAAGGCAATGATGTTACTGTGAAATCCTCCTTGACTTGAGACGTTGGATGGAACGTTGAAGATGAATCTGAAGATATTGTACTTCCCAAGTCCGAAGCCTAAGATAATAAACACAGTATGTCTTTGTCGCTGATGATTAGGTCTTGAATGTAGTATGCTATAAGAAGGATCATCGCTCTGGTCGGACGAGAAGACTTTATAAGAAGCGAAGACTGTCGATAGTGATGCGACCCAGGAAGTGATGAGTAAGACGTTCACCCGCCAACTCAGGGCGCAAAGTAGCAGGAGTGATACCCTTGAAAATCTGAAGAAAGCATTCACACCGAGCGACTGTAAGACGCAGATAAGATACAGTGAACCGGATGAAGCGTGATTGGCTGCAAATGAAATTAGTACCTCATACGGATGACCCTAGCCCTTAGTTTTAGACTCAGAAGAAAATGACATGTACGGAAGAATTAGATGTAAAAAAGGAACTAGACATACATGCTGACGTGATGTAAGAGGTTCATGAGATTCATGCCAATGTTCACTTCCTCATAAATCAAACGCACCCTCAGACGCAACATCGGAAGCCCACTCCACATTCGATGAGCTCGAACTTCCCGTCCACATACTGTCCACAAAATCTTGCTCGACATCACTCCACCCTTCGGTTCCAAGACTGTCATCGACCTCTTCCCACTCCAATTGTATATCCACATCTGCCAGCGGCGCAGCTTCCACCGCATCTTCAACATTTGCTTTATCCTCTCTCGATTCGGAGCTCGTGTCCGTCTGCTCTCCTGGCGGAATGGGCCACGGGGACACAGGCTGTCTGAATTCCTTGAATGACGGATATTTTAAAGTGAGAAGGGTGAGATCTGCAGCATCTATTATACACTTTTCACTGTTCCGCGAGATGGAGGCAGTTGAAGGTTCGAAGAGAAGTGGCGGTTCATTCTGACCAGAAGCCCTCTTGGGGCTTTCTAAGAGGTCACCGGAAGTTTTGTCGATTGCCTCAATTGCAGCGCGGAGGTCATTTGTTCGAGACGAATAAAGTGGTACTTCTCTCTGGGAAATTCTACTGTGGCGTGCCGACTCATCAGCGCTTGTTGGATGGTCTAGGCTTGCAATTAGCGGCTGTACGGAGGCAAAGCCAAGGCTGGGAGAGCAGAATACCATTTGATTGTCTGGGTATCGGGTAACTCTTATCATACTTATACCAAAAGCTTTCTCCGTATTTGATAGCGGTTTCGTAAGCATTTCTTGAGCCCTTTTGCGACTGCTGCGACTGATCCCGAAGACCCTCATTTTGTAGGATTTCTGTCTTAGCCGCCTCAACCATCGCAGCTTCAAGCTTCTGCTCCAGGGGGTTTTTGACACTAGCAAGAAGTTGCTTGACAGATCCGGTCCTTGTAGCCTCAGACCTTGGAACCGACACGGCAGCCTTGCGCTCCTCCTCCTCCTTCTTTCGGTCTTTCTCTTCTTTATACTTGCGGTATGCTTCTTGCGAAGCCATTTTAGACCTGAGATGCACTGAAAATGCCAGTTCAGACATTACATTCTGCTCTACGTCGTCCTGGTGCACGGTGTGAACTGGTGGCAGGATGCCAGACATCCTTGAGGGTCCTGGGTGTAGATTTCCAGGCTCTGCAGCAGGAAGCTGCACCTTCTGTTCCTCGCGCTTCTGTTGAGCGAGGTTTCGCTGTCCGGCGCCGTGCCTAGCTTGAGCATCTAATAAGATATGACTGATACGCTCATGTACCCATGAACCGGAAGGTGGAGTCTCGCTCTGCTGCTCTTGAGCTTTCGATTGCTCCTGCATCTGCTGAGCATGTTTCCCCTTGGGAGCGCAAGTTCGTGGAGAAAGGTGGCTCTTGGGGTCTATCATACGAAGCGGGAGTGCTGCTTGTGATATTGAACACTCGCCATCGGATTGTTGGCCACCAAGACCCATCCTTGCCAATCTCCTTTTCTGGTCAGCAATCTCAAATTCGAGATACCCACGCTGATCGTGCCGCGTTCTTGGACTCTGTTGCTGCTCGTGTTCTTCATTTGCGAAGTTCAGGGGACGTGGTCTAGACTTTGGTTGCGAATGTTGGCAAACTACTCCGGACAGCTGTCGATGGGTGTTGTCCTTCCCGTTATTTGCCTTTGCGGGAGGGAATTTGCACTGCTGCAACGCTGCGAAAGCGCGTTGTTCCACCATGTGCATCTCTTCAATCTTGGCCCATCGGTCGATTGCTTCTTGTTGAACACAAGCTTTGCGTTTGCGATGTTCTTCGAGTTCAGATGCCGACAAATGTCGTACGCTCAACTCGAGCGCTCTTAATCGCTCGTCCATACTATCGTCTCCCCGGTCCAGACGTGAGTAATCCAGGTATACTGGGCCAGCAGATGGTTGGTAGGGCGACTGGTGGGAGCAGTGACGATACATGACTGCAGTAGGAGGAATTGGTCGATTTTTGAGAAGGCTGACCGTGCCGGACTTGTGAACTATATTACTAACCACAAGGCTTGCGGCTTCATTGTTTAGGACCGTCGAACGTGAAGGGAAGAGGGAAGGAAAGAGGGAGTTCCAGCTTTTGAGCGAAGGCAGGAGAAAATAAGTTTTTTGGGGGAGCGCCATGTGGAAAAGCCCATTTCGCTGGAAGAGTCAGTTGCGCAAAGCCCGCATATTGGCTCACCTTAACCTTCATCTCCAATCTGTCCGATCCACACGCCACTCAACCTTATATCACACAAGCGGTCTCATGTGGCGACCACGAGGCCATCGATAGACATGAGAGTATGTCAAGTGGATTAGGCGTTAGGCGGGCGCTGAGAGCGGCGCAAGCCGAAGGCCCAGAGCACGCCTGGACTTGTTAATAGTATTATCGTGGCAGAGATGTGTACTTTGAAAGAGAAAATAGTAATACCGGAGAGTTACGTATGTGTAAATGGGGAAATTTGTAAATTGCATACATGTAAATAGGTTGTGTGGACTCAATTATTGGGGCGCCCCTTTTTCTAAAAGCCGTTCGTCTGGAAGCTTGTGACGTCCCATCCGTTCTCGATATCGTACTCACGAGGTGGCGTTGTTCCATGTAGCACGTTATAATGCACCTCACCAGTGCAATTCCCCTTCAAGCAATCAGCAATTTCCGTGCCTACAGCCTGGCCCTCAAACCATGCCCCATGCAGAAAGCCGTAGTATTCCGTACTCGTTGCTTCGCCAGCGAAATAAAGTCGGCCGATATTCGCTCTGAGATTCTCGTGCATTTCCAGACTCGTTCCAGGAGGCCAATTGGAGTAGCTGCCATAGGCCCATGGCTCCAAGCTCCAACGTGGGTACATGAATGCTATTGGTTCAGGGACATTTTCAGCGCCGAACATGTCCCGCAGCACATCCAGGACTTGGGCCTTTGTAGTCGCATCATCCTGATTCTCTACCACATAGCTTTGATCCTGCACGACGGTCACGAAAATGATACCAGAGCCTGGAAGGAAGCCTGGGCTATCTAGGGATTGCCAAACAGGGTAATAGCCACGCTCATTAGGGTCGGCGTAGAGAAAAAATTGGTAGGATGTGTTCCAAAACACCTCATCGGGAGGAAATTGCAGGAAGATCTTGGTATAGGTAGCCATTGAAAAGGTCTCGATACCCATTTGTTTCCAAGAGGGAAAGGCCGGAGAAAAGGTTACAGCATCATTCTGCAGGACGCCAAGACTGTTTTTGTTAGTGAGTATCCAACGATCAGGGATGGTATTGCAGCCTACGAGAATGTGCAAATCGCATAGTCAGCCTCGACACAACTCCCATCCTTATTGTATACCGTCACACCCTTGTCGCTGTAGGATACGTTCGTGACAATCGTGTTGAGCAATAGTCTTGGGTCATTCGCAGTCAAAAATGTCGATGCTTCGCCTCGTATGAAGGCATTGAAGCCACGCGAATCGAAGACGTAGTTGTTCGCATCCGAATATTGATAGAACGTCGTGTTCTGAAATTCATCAGCTGACGTAGAAGATGGTGGTGATGATATAAGCTTACATAGTTGACAATAGCAAACTCTTGAGAGCTCAATTCCTGTCTTTGATCAGCTCTGTTTTGTAACCAGACTCTCAGAATCTGCCCTACTGGACTCTGCCCATACTCCCAATCGAACTCCCACCATTCGACTGCTTGGGCTTCCATGTCATTGCCCGGTTTCCAGCCCGCAAGGCTTAATCCAGATCGAAAGCTCCGATCTTGTAGGTTGTCGCTCAGAATGTATCCCGCATCTTGCTCCACCGTCGAATATGGATCCCCCTCATAATCATCAATCAGATCTGTGAAATCCACAGCACCATTCTGGTTGAAGGTCTCGATCGACGAGTAGTTGGAATAGCTTGGAACATCAGCTCTAGTCCGAAGAGATGTTGCATTGCAAGACTAACGTGTTCGTCAAGTTTGAAAGCTCGGCCTATCATTGTTGTTCAGCTCGCATAGTCTCAGGCAAACATGACTTAGAAAATAGCATACCAATATCCATATTGGATTGACTGGGCCTCCAGGCGTGAATGTGCCTTGGACCTATGGTAAGGAGGTTTAGTAAGCGGGTCCGCCAATTCTCTTTAACATTCAGCATACCCAATTGGCGCCCAGTTCCACGGTATATGATTGATTCTTTGCGCCAAAGGCAGTATGGGCAACTCTCCCTCCGATAACGCTGTTGTATTCCACGATCAAGAAGTCCGTTACAGAGGCATTGGAGAGAGCTTGCTGTTGGGGGTCAGTGCAGGTATCTGGATTGGTAGAGCTCGAGAGATAAATACAGCAGCGGTTATCCCTGCTGTGCCTGCACCGCTGTTGGTAAAGAATCAGCATCAATCGCAGTTGAATGCGCACGGGACTCACAGAATGGCAACCTTGGTCTTCTGGCACGTGCCATTACGCTTCTGCAACGGCGAGGCATTGGCCAATCCCAGAGCCAGGCAAGCACAGAAAACGTTCCGAACATTGAACTGCATGGCGGAGTCGTCAGTTGACCTTGAGGTACTGCAGGCAGCTGGAAGCTTTGAAGTACCAAAGTGTTACGTACCGCTAGCCATTCCCCTCATACTCGACGTCCCTGACGCAGGGTACTGTAATAATCATAATGCTAATCGCAATCAAGCCTATCAAGCGAAGCTTCAATGCAGTTCGACGGCAATCATGCAGAGCGGTCCCGGGTCTACCGATATGGCGGCATGAACGTTTGTCGAAAAAGGAAGGTGGCTGGGATAGAAAGGCGATTCTGCAGGTCTTGGCATTGAGCCGATAAGATAAGGGTTTTGTCTATAAAGTAATTGAATAAAGTAAAGTAATAAGCAATACAAGAAGCTTGCAGCCCAGAAAATGGGGATAAGAGGGTTTTAGGTCGAAGAGATTAAAGCCAGAGGTATCATAGTTTTTCATTATTGACTGCACCACGGACGGCACTGCAAACCACGAAGATGTAGTTAAATCCGGACGTGGTCAAAATCCTTGCGCTGATCGGGTGACTGTAAATACATACTCTAATCTCTTCGAGTTCTGCAGTCGCCTCCATGGACACGCGGGCAATCCAATCAAGCACTTTAATAGAGTCCCCCGTCACAACGGGCCCACGCCGACTCGAGATATGACCATGCAGTCAAACTTCTGGCCCCTTTAAACACCGGTGTGTCCAAGGACCACACTCCTTCCCTGAAGGACCCAAGCACCTTGGTTTGTATTCTATTTGAACTCACTTATGGCGCCACTGCGGAAGTGGTAGATGCGGTATTCGCACTTTTGACGGGCTCAAGATGCAGATCCGACACGCCAAGGTTGCTGAGAGTGAAAAGGGACGTCAGAGGCAACCGAGAAAAATGAGAAAGCCACAATAGTAGAGAAGACCACCAATCGAATATAGATGGCAGAGCTGAGTGTCGGTGTTTCTTTGTAAGCAATTGATCCTTGGCTTGTTCTAGCGGGTTCCTTCGGAAACAGTTGAGCAACTCTCGAGGACCTTGCTGTGGGATTTGAGTTGAGAGTTCATTGTACGCTTTCTTCCGCCGCACGCACAGAGCATATTGTAGGCTCACATATCAAAGCCACAAGTTCAACTAGATTGCTAGTCTTATGCAAAGACACGAGGACTACGACGATAAAGTACGCCGTACTCAAGACGGGCACTGGAATACGAGTGAGGCGGTCTTCGGAAGTCATACAGAACTCGTCAGACTTTGGCTAAACAAATCGTGAAACAAGAGGAATACGAGAAGTGCTTGCGTAGAGCACGACGCACGAGCGACGATCGAGAAACAACTCAAAGACCGCGGATGAAGCTGCCAGCGACCACTCCTGTGATTGTGGCGTAAGCGGTACAGTACGTAGACTTCCAGTTTTACAAACAGCTCGAAGATCAAAAAAATATATTCCTCCACTCCCAATCATAGAGCCAATGCCCCGCTGCCCAAGATAAACCTCACGTACGCAATCCCACCCACCACGGTCCCTACACCTGCAAGCCATGAATATCAACGGCGCTGCAATCCTCGCCGTCGACACTGTCCTCAGAAATAATAAACTTAACAACAATAATAACGATGACGAAGAAAAAACCCACCCACTGTCCCCTAGACGTGTAGAGCAGAGCAGAGCAGAGCAGAGCCAAGGCCAAGCCATCATCCCGCCTCCAAACCCAAAAAGCCTCCGTTTCGAAACACCCACCCCCCTCACCAAACCAAACCGACCAATCGCCTCCATTCTCCTCCCTCTTACATACTTTACCTAACACGCCCATGCGACTATCTAATCAACCCTCCAATCGCCCTCGCCCCTCTCTCGCTCGCTCGCTGTGGCTGAGCTGAGAGCGTCCCCCTTCCCCCCCTCGCGGGTGACAAAAAGATAGGAACGCCAAGCCAGACGACTGCGCGGAGACACACATACAAATTTCTACGTACCTATCTCTCTGTTCTAGTATCCTGTCATTATGCTCCTTTACCGTCGTCTATGACTGCTTTGTAATCTATTCGGCATACCACCTACTATCCACTCTCTCGTTAATAATGAATAAACGATCTGGAAATATTTAAAGTACCGTAGTCCACCCCTCATCAATTAGTGCCTAACCTAGTCGTACGGTACTGTTGTCAGTGCGGGCTTGGCGTTCCGATCTTTTGTCACCCGCGAGCCACCCCCCCCCTGGGCCCCCCCCCCTCTTGGGTCGGAGATTAAAGGCCATCCATACCGCAAGGCTGTGTGCCACCCTACCTCACCTTACCTCTGGATCGTCAGGTACGCACGGGGATATTTTTCATACCTACGTGTAAGAGGCTAGTGGGGGTCGTGTTTGATCGGCAGTTCTTTCCTTTCGGATTTTCTTTCGGATTTTTCTTAATCTGTTAAATAACTACTACTACGTACATACATCGTCGCACGGTGCACGCTTGGTAGAGTAGGATGCTACCCCACGGCGCACGTGCGGATGGTAACATGGGGTCCGGGAAGGGTCGCATTCGAAACTTCAATCTATTCGAATCAATCAATCAATCAGTCAGTCGCGTTCCACGGGGGGCGTCAAACGTCGCACTCGACGATCGGAAAAACCAATTGGGGCAGGTGGGATCCCTTTCTTCGTGAGGTGGCATTTATTCAATGGTGTAATTTGGCGATGATGCCCTCCGGGTCGTCAGCCTCACTCGGGAATCATATTCGCGGTCGGTTAGATGGAGATGTGATGATGATGCTGTTACACATCGGTTTCATTTTCCAATTCCTGATTGTGGAGATCGGCCGTGGCGGCGAGTCAGGGTTCCTTTTCTTTGGAGTGTGTTCCGCCTGAGGCTCCTTTTCTCAGCTGGGGCGTTACGCCTCCAAAAGATGATTTTTTTTTAGGTTTTTGGTGGTGGTTTTTTTTTGGGGCGGTTGCTGATTCAGCAATACAAGTAGAGGAAAGCTGAAGGCGAGATGACGGCGAGATGACCAAGACTGTTGCACCAGTGGGATTTGAACGCGATGATGAGGAAAAGTGTGACGAGTGAGATGCTGACGCCTACAAGGTTTTCGAGAGAGGATTTAGATTCCTCCGTAGCACTAGGTGTTTGCCTAAGGAGTCATAAGGTTGTGTCGCTGAATAGATACGAATAGCAATACAGTATGTAGGATCGTGATGACAGAGTAACGATGATGATTACTGCGCCGGACCCATGCAATCAGACCGCGACGCTCGCCAGGAAGCAACCCAAGAAAACTCGTAGCATACGTAGCTAAACGGATAGACCAATTGGTATCATAGCAAGCAATCGCTCGCCGAACGCTCACCGACAATATGCATCGACGCCGACTGATAATCTATGTTCGTTAAGTCCAACCCCTTTATACACCGATGACTCTTTCCCTTTGATTTTCTCGGCTGATTCCGCCACGTGCGCCGCCGTGGTTAGTTGGCACGTAAGCCAAACGTAAGATGATGGATCCCGATGGTTTACTGAACCTCAAGGGCTTCGGAAGGACGGCGTTGGTCCATGGATGGCGAGATATTTGACTTCCACCGCAGTCCTCTCACAGCGTCTGTCTTGGGCTATGGGTAAACTGCGTCTGTCTCGGGCTGTGACTATGACTCAACGACTCCACGGGGCTTGTGGCGTCCCAAGGGTCCTGGAGAAAGTTGGAGGGGGTCGAGAAAGGCCCTCGTCCGGGATGTATCTCCTCCCATTTCCGAGCGCAGTATTTGGCAGGCCAGCGTTCTGATGCGCCGAAGTCCAGCATCTGATCGATCCAAAGACGTTAGCGCTACCTTCGTCTCAAAATAGCTGGAACGTGTGAGCGACGCAGGGGAGTTTCAGACTTCGGAGAGCAGGGTTCCGCTATCGCAACATTGACTCGTGGAGGGATGGTGGGCTTACCTTTGCGGCGATGATGTCGAATTGGAACTTCTCCCAGTAATCGTAGGCTTGTTCGAGGGCTTGAACCTGTGTCTCAGGATCAGATCATCATCATGGAGGGATGTAACAAAAGAGATTAAATGTGCCTGCGTACATCAGTTTCCGTCCAGGTCCTCATACGCTCGCGCAATCTTTTAAATCGCATCTGCAGCGCAGGCACTTGGTAAGATTTGCCGAGATCGGTCTGGAAGCGCACTGCGATGTCCTTCCATGGCAGATTTTCCTCTTCTTTGAGCTTGAGGAGCAGTTGCTCTTCTTCATTCAGTTCGACAGGACCCGCTTGCGAGGGGGCGCGCTTTCGCTTTTTCTGGCCATACTCGGAGTACTCTTCATCTTCTCGCATGCGCTTGAGGGTTTGCATTTGTCGGAGACCGACCGGATCTGGAGCTATTGGCACTGGTCCGTGCCGGCCTGGCGAAGCACCGGGGTTTGATACTGGGTAGTCCCCGCTGTAGTACGGACTCGGCGTCTTGGTTGACGGTACCGGCTGTGGTGACATAGAGAACATCGGGGGTGCATAGTCCTCATTCTTTATACGGAAAGGATTCTCTGTGAAAAGCAGATCCTCCACGTTCGGTCCAAATGTGCTCGGACTGCTTTTTGGCCGCGAGAACGGTGTTATGTGTGATGGATGTGTGATCGATATTGGTGGTGGTATGTGAGGACCTGATGAATATGGCGTGTTGTCGAATTCGTGTGGGTGCAAAGGTACCTGTGTCCCATAAGTTGAAGATCCAAGTCAACAAGAGAAAGAGACATACGAGAGGAGTTGGATTCCATTCAGGCTCCGAGAAGTGGTGGGGATTCATCATCTGGCTTGGGTAGATAACCTCGACGCCGGAGCTATAGTAGTGGTCCAAAGGCATGAAGACTGGATGGTAGCAACAGCAAATAGCAGCATATACCCTTCAAAAACAAATCTTGACTCTTATATAACGTGTTATGAACGCCCTGAAGGAACTTTCCACGGGTGGAATGGCAGTACTGAGGTCGAATACGTGCATGCAAGCCAAAGGTCATGCAGGTCGTTCAGTAAATGAGAAGCCAGCAGTAGCGGAGAGGAGCAAGGACAATTAGACAAATATACGATGTAGGCTGTGTGGGAGGAAATTAAATGAGTGTACGAAATACCAGCGTCGGTTTGATGGACTGTGCCAGATGCTGCGGACGACGTCTTCGACATCATCCTTGAAGCGAGAGATTGATATAAGAAAGATCGCAATCAGCGTAGAGTGAGTTTAGTGGGCTCAGCCTGGTAGCTGTTTCAAATCTTTGGGGAGAACTTAGCGTGCGTCTCGCTGTGCCATGCCTAAAGCTTCCCTGATCTGCCCCAGGGACCCATTGGCTCACAGCGAGGCTTATGGCCAAGCAAGCACGTCAAGGAAGTAGCTGTACATAGGATAGCGTCAACGCTGTCCACTGCAGAAAACGGGTCTCCGCACTCAGTCAATCCAGGTTAATTATGGCACCCAGCTGAGGCTCTTACACCTTTCGATCAAAATAGGCCCCTTCTAAGCGCCCTCAGGTCGGGAAAAAGGATCAGCTCAGGATTAGCTTGCAGGCACAAGGGGCCTATCGGCTGTCTGCCTGCTGGGTACCTTGTCTCGTGTGTGCTCGCAGTAAATCTTCCGTGATAAACATTATTACTGCACCATCGGTGTCATACGAAAGTCGGTACGCCTAACTTCTAATAAGGTACGAAGAGCGAAAGTAGCGGAATCTGTGAGTCCTCGTATTCGTGGTATCCCCACCCGCGTGCTGATCAGCCGCTGGAACCTAGAAGAAGTACGGGGGAGTCGGGGATCGTCTGTGTCAAATTGCATACCAGATCTCAACGGTTTTGGGTGTGTGATGCGAAACCAAAGCCAAGCTCGTCATAACCTTTCTCTATTACCAAGACATACGAGTCACGCATCTGCCGAACTGCCATCTTCCAAGACGCAGGTACAATTTTCTCTACCACGGTTGACTTTACATACGCACAACCGGGCATTATCGGCTCGCTGACTTCTTCTTGACCATCCTTCATTTATCTATACGAGACAAAGTCGAACTCATTCTTGTACATACAGTAGCATGTCACCGGTGCTGACCGTAGACTTGGCCGCTAGAAAGCTGCTAGAAAGTGGAGAAGCCCGTGACCCAAGTCGTACGAGGGCGAAATTATGTCGCCGTAAATCCCCCCTTCAGATGTAGCATGCATTACGGTATGCAATCGTCAGACTCCGAAGGGCCCCCCGAACAGCCCCTGATAAAATGGGTTAATCATAGTAGTAGTAGTAGTAGTAGTAATAGTAGTAATAGTAGTAATAGTAGTATTGAGGTACGGTAAGAGCATGCAACCCTGAGGTCAGATCATCTGCCTTGTGAAGGTCTAAAAGACAAATAGGTAAGGTAAGGTAATAATGTTACGGTGGTACAGTCAACAGTGGGCCGGGGCCAAAGTAGTAGAGTATTTTCCAGCCAACCTAGCGGCGACATAAGGTGCCTAAGTAAAGTAGTAAATAGACAGCGCTGTTCACGTTCTAGACCAAACTTCCCAAAATTAGCCGGTCTTTCGGCACCATTCCAGCCGCATTCGGTCAATTAGGCAAATCTACTCATCCAATCGGCTATTCTCATATGATGACTAATTTCTAAAAGAAGAAGTCTCTGCGACAGTGCAGCCTCACACAGCGGATGCCCCGAAGGATTCCCAGAATGGAACATAAAGACTCAAAAGATGAACTGGCGGGGAGTATTAAGAATAGTAGTTAGAGGAAAAATGAAGGAATGGAAGGATGAACAGGCAGTGGTCCTAGCGTTACCATGTAAGTCAGCGGTCTCGGTCATACAGAGCTCCTTTTGCCGTATTCCTCCCGGATCCATTGACGGCGCTTGGAAGATTGGACGGAGATACACGTCTGGCAGCAGAATGAGAAGAGCAACATATAATGGCTGCAGTGATGACTGCACTCAACAATGACAAGATGTGGAGACAAGATGCGAAGTATGATGATGATGATGATGATGACAATGAGATTATCGATCTTTTGTCCTACTGTGCTGATGTTTATGCATGATTTCCCTCGGCTCGGTAAAGTCCACCATCGATCAACGCACTGGCGTTTAGCAAAATGTTTCATTAACCACTCGAGGCTGTGTCGTAAGTATTGAAACACCGACAAACCCTGCAGCATGTGTAGGATTTGGCCAGCGCATGCGAAGGATCAGGTACAGGGTACTTCAGCTACAGTGCCACCTGATGCCATGAGCGAGGTACTCGGTACCATCGGACTTTGTTACTCTCTGCTCCTACTACCGGCTGACTTCTCTTGTTTAAGGTGTCGCGAACTCGTCCAAAATCCGCGAGGAGACATGAACCATCGACTGGCTTGCGCCGTTTTTGGCATGCATTCTCAACTTTCCTGTACTCTCTCCGCAACGTCATGCAGTCCACGGCGGGCGACCGCTTCTTTTGGAGGCGGCCCCCATATTGATCCGTCGACCATTCCAAGGCTGTGTCACGAGGTGGTATCGATGTGTTCCCTCTCTAGCTTATCATCCAGTTCCATCGGTCGTCCCTCTTCTTAATCTATCCAAAACAAATCTCGCCGTATGGAGGTGCCGCGGATTCCCATTCGTGTGGCTTGATCGTTCTGAGGGCCCGGTTGAGGTCTCAATTAGTAATTAATATAAGCAAGCGCTAAGCGATACCCATGTCTGGGCAGTGCGTCTTGGCTGAGATCCATCCTCAATCGCGAGGATTCATTCTCAGCTGCACGCATCATTCCTCTTCTCGAACATGGGTCGGTCTCCAGAAATCCAATTTGCTGTAAATGATCCTGATCCTCCAGGACAAGCGATGAGCATTGTATCATCATTTCCGCGCATACGTGTTGTTATCATCCAGTCTGCCGTTGGTGTCTTGGGCGGAGCTCCATATCTCATCCTCGCTGTTATCTTCCTCTACCAGTCCAGCTAATCCATCATCCTTCGAGCCGGAGTCTCCTTCCGGTTCTCGTGTTTGATCCATCACGTCCTCATCTGCAGATACAGAGATACCTCTTGGCCCCCAGTTGCCTCCTTTCTTTGATGCTTCTGCGCTGCCATTATTCCTCACTCCATCCACTGCGCCCCTCTCCTCATCGTCCATGCTTGCATCTCCTCGACCCAGTATCCTGCTAACCAGAAAGCCTCGACTGAGATCATCAGAGTCGACGACACCACCATTTCGGAGCTTGACCCTTTGCCGCGTCCAATACACCCATGCGAAGTCGACATAGAAAGCCGTTTGTATTATTCCGAAGAGTACTGCCCGCCATTCGAAATGATGCTCAGAAGATGCTAGGCGTACGATCCAATTCAGTATGTAGAACGCTCGGTATGACCCAAGCGTGAGAAGGTAGAAGGAATCGATGACTGTTGGCACGGTCGTTTGTCGGAGCAGAAGAAGTTGGGGTATAACACAAACTGATTCCAGTATGATCGAGAATGTCCATAGCATCTCAAAAAAGCTGAAATCTTTCTTTTGGGCAATGGCTGTGGCGATGGGCGCCAGGAGCACTGACCCCCCCAAACAATATGCCCCTAATCTCCACGCCTTTTCTCTTTCCCGCGTCCGGGCATAGATTTTCATCATGAGAAATATGATGTAGAGTGAAGAGAGGATATAGAAGTTCTTCAGAATGAAGTTCCATATAGAGGCAAAAGGCGGAGTCCAGAAGAGATCGAGGTAGCGTGTGATGAAAACAGCAACGTAGAGCATCTGGGTAATCAATGATACACCTAAAGCAACGCAATCAGCGAAATCCATTAAACAAGGTCGTAGATGGTTACCTTCGGCGCTCTGGTTGTCGTGTATTGCCCAGATCAAGATACATTTAGAAGCTGTATGGGACAAATCGCCCAATATACGAAACACATTCATGTTGCCCATCTTACTCTCACCCGAATGAATGACACACCAGAGTGACACTTGACAGTCTTTTTATGTGAGGAAGGTCGTGGCAAGCGTTCGCTGGAGCCTGTTGATCAGCGACCAACCCCTGCCAACATCCAAAGCCGCCACCACTGCAAGAGAGCCTTTTCCTCAAAGAGCTCAGGAAAATGCCAGCACAGTAGTGATGTTCTTGGTACGTTGCGAGGTCTTTAAGAGGCTGATTCGTGTAAGCGGTGACTTCTAAAGATAGTCATTTCGAAACAACTCAGTTCCTTTCCATTGACCCTGTGCTGTTGTACCGACCATGCGCTTCTCGTATTCAACACTAGAGGCTCACTAGGCGAGAGGGATGTCTGACGATCTCCACGGCGAGTATCTTACCGCTAAGCAAGCTCTATAGCCGTTTTACGCCTCCTCATGTGTGTATCCCGAGACGAACCACCCTATCATCTTGCAAGAAGGCAAGAGAGCGAATTCCAAAGGAACTGCAATTTATCCCTACACGATCCAGACGTCCACTAGCTTCTCACTACATTTGGTAGCTATGGCGCCCCTCCCAGCAGCTATTCGCGTCGCCCAGACAATTGGCATCACAGCTTCAGCATTCTGCTCTGGTGGGCAGCATTCCTCAGAAGAAGCAGAGGCTGCCTCCGCTTTCGAATAGCTCTGACAGGACTCACAGGTAGCATCCTCAGCATATCCATCCTCACAATCCCAACCTGGCTCATCGCCCCAAGTCCAGTCCTGGTCAGGCAATGGCAACTCTGTTTCGACCGCGGAAAGATATTGAACCCGGCCATCGCCCTCGTCTCCATCATCTCCTACAGCTATCTCTCCTACAGACTCTACGGTACCCTGAATCACCCCAAGGCTGAAATCTATGGACTATCTGCGTTGGCAACATTTGGGATATGGCCGTACACGAGGTTCGGGATGATGTCTACGAACCGGAAGCTTTTCAAGAAGCACGATGAGATGAAGGGTTTGGATGTTGGTGAGAAAGCTACGGAGGTGGGGTTGGCGAAGGGAGAGAGTGCAAAAGAACTAGTGGATAGGTGGGGGATGCTGAATCTAGGGAGGAGTGTGTTCCCATTAGTGGGAGCTGTGCTGGGGTTGTGGGCAACCTTGGCTTGAGACACTTCAATCGTGTTGGAAGATATAATCGCAGACTGCTCGATGTGTACGATTTTTCGTTTGGAGAGAGGGCATTGGCCCATGGTAACGAAGGAGGAACAAACCGCGGTCCAAGTCGCAAGCGGTTCCCTGCGGTAAATTGTCTATAAGCAGGCCTAAACCAAAGGGTTTCTACCCAGCGGTCATTTTCTTTTGGGTCCGAGTACTCGCAGAACCAATATCAGCTGCACAGCGCAGCTAATGTTTTTCAAAATCTGGAGAGCTTTGCTCCATCTCCAGCGGTCAAATTGCATAGTCTTTCCCAATATCAAACTCTCCAATTCTCTAAAGATCAACATCACGGACCTTTAAATTTAAATAGAAGACGGCATCTACCTCTCCTTCTCACAGCAACACGAGCACTTCTACTCAGGCAACCCAATGCGAGCACACTCTCAAGAGCGTACCTACCCCATTAGCGCTGAAGCAGCTGCTCGCTGCCAAGCGTCAGCGTTTGGCACCTCTTACCTCGACCCTTTTCTGAAGCAGCTCGATTGTAGATCTCGGAAAGCTATCCTCAAATACACGCTCAGCAATCACACCATGGATCAAGCGAATAAGGTCCTTTGCCGAGTCCTGGGTCTCGATACTGGGCACCTGGCCGGGTCTGGACCTGTATTTCCTACATGATATCATGGTCCTAGCAGCGCTGGACCCTGGACTTGGTTCTGAGCGAGGAATACCGGAACGTGCAGAGGCTTGCTGGGACGTGTGGAAGAAATGTCGAGCCAGGTGATAGAAAGAGGAGGCAGACCATAGCCAACGCCAGGAGATCTTCGCTCGCAGCAAGCAGACGCCGGCAGACTCCTTGAGGTCTCTGCTCCCCGAGAAGAAACATGAGATCATGATGGCGCAGAACGAACGGTCTCTTGCTGCCTCGTCGTTGATTATGCTGCATGGCTTTCAGGAAATTGTGGTCAAGGACTACGAGGAGCAGGCACGCAGGCGAGACTCTATTGAATTCAAGCTACCACCACGTTTAGCAAGCGCGAGCGACTTCGTCAACAAGTCATAGAGTGCTACATAGAGGCCGGCGATGGGGGATGTGAACAATGTTTACGCTGAGCCGATATATTCCGTCGTTATCCCTTATCCCGTCGGGGCGATGCCTTCAGTGACCTAGTGGCCAGGCTGGGTCTGCACAGGCCTTTACTAGAATGAATTTGGAAGTCCAAGGCTGAAAATGGGATGGATCCGCTTCTGGATGTCAAGAGGGATGAGATGTTGCTGTTGTGGTTCGTGGCAGTGGTCAACGAGGAGGAACAGAAGCTGCATTAGGTGCCTGAAGAAGATGTCGGTGCGGGCGACTGCTTTGCGATGAAGCAAGGAGGTTGATAATTGAAGATTTCAAAGTCAAGTTCGGGTGGATATATTGACTCTCCTCATTGGTGATACTTTCGCCTTCCTTCCTTCTTCCTCCCGTCGTTCCTCGCCCAAATAACCTAAAGGGAAATCAATGACAATTCAATCTTTGTCTCTACGTGCTGATCACGATCTGACCACTAAGATTGGATTGGGTTTTTGACAACATGGTCCATCTGAATGGACGCTATGTTTACCATTATCCTTTGTTTGCTCAGTTGTCTGATACTTTCTACGAACCCTAGTAATAAGACCTACCTCTTCTTCGCCATTTCCTCAACTCTTCACACTATCCATTAGCCCCCTCCATCTACCAACCGTTTCACACTCGTCGGCACAAGATGAACCTCGCAAGAAAAAGAGGAACAGGACAGAATCCAAACCATAAGCCACATAAGGATGGGATCTACTCCCAGATAGTTCGACCGGACCCTTCGAGCTCGTAGACGCCTGAGGACAGCGACTAAGCGAAGCAACAGAGGCTCTCCGGATAGCAAGAACCCGAGCCTCGTAGCGACGGAGAGCGGCCGACTGGCCGAATCATTCACGGGTCAGAGCGTCAATGCAAGCGACAGGAAGGACGGTTTTGAGATTCGAGACTCGGGCACGCCTGGCATGCGAGGGGGTCAGTGGTAATTATGGCGGTAAATACTGGGTAGACAGCCACGAAGGACGACGATGATGAAGATTATGCTCGTGTTGTTCTTGGAGCGCGCGGAGATAGATTAATTTCTTGAACAAGTGTCGGGAGCTGAAGGCATGGTGGTCGAGTTTTCTTTTCTCAAGCGTCTTCGTTCAGCGTCACAGTTGCCTCATTTCCTCCTCCTCCTCCTCCTTCCCTCCTTAGTCTCCATACAGAAACCTCAATGGCCGGGGTTACGTCGGCACCGTCGCCTGACAATCTTTTACAAAAATGCGTGGCGAATCGCAAAACAATCGCTAGCCAGTACAGACCCTTGACGCGAAATAGTGAGACGAGGGTGCCAGCGTTCGACGACATGTACAATCCACCATCCAAACGCTCCTCTACGGGCCAAGGGAGGCAAGTATGAATAGGACATCTGACCATATCATTTGCTCTTTTGGAGGATATCTGCATGAGGACGTCGTGGATGCGGCGTTTCGCAGCCACTCGTACAACCAACAACGTAGCAACTGCTTCATATGTGGGATGCTCTCCCAAGCCGTCCTTCATGCACAAGACTGGTCCTGTTAAGGGAAAGTGCCTCTCGACTGACTGTCGGATAGATAATTTCTGCCGGAGTCACTGTCTTTGATGCTTAGTTGAATGGAAATTTGAGGCTTCGCTTCTTCAATGTGAATACGATCTTAGCACTATCAATACCAATACTTTGTTCCTTGCTATAAAGTCCGGCAACGTTCCTTCAAAGACATGCTTCACACACTACGCACATTTGTTCAAGAAACCCGTCACATCCGTAAGCATCAGCTGAAAGATGACATGGGAAATTTCAGACCTCCCAGCATCTCGATGAGCAAGATCATCTAGACACTATGGCCACCATATCCGACTACGTAGCTGCAGAGCTGCACCAATTACTCCTGTCGAAGACAAATCTCGGGAAGCCAGCATCCCATCAAATCTCGACGCTACTCTGATGGCTGCCCACATTACTCAACCATGGCGTCCTTAGACAGCTCCAAGCCAAGCCATTATTATCATCGGTTTAATCCCAGTTTCCCTCAACACCTTCGGGACAATTTCGCGGATTGGTATCTCGCCAACCGAGAGTCGATGATTGCCGTCCACGACGCTGAAACCGAGAACGAGTCGCTTATGTACGCTGATTCGCGATCTATACAGAATTCTGGATCCTTATGATGTCTCAATGGCTGGTTAGTCTGTTCTTTGGAAGCCCGCACCGGTATTTGATAAGCCAGACCATACTACCGCTCCTCGCAAATACACCAAAGCCAATTTCGCGTTGGACCCAGTTCTCCTGATCGATCACTGGCGAGAATCGGTTCGTCAAGCATTCGTAGCGAAGGACTGGAGATTGCGACTGGGGAATGAAAGGTGGGCATCGAGGCTGTCGAAGGGAGGCATGACCTGGTCGACTGGTTACATGGCGCCGGTAATGAGGGCCAGCGACGAGTTACACTTGGTCAAGTGGTGGTGATGACCAAGGCTGGCGCTGAAAAGCTGGGCGGTATGGCTCAGGAAAAGGTGACTATGGATTAAGCCAGAAAAAACAAGATTCAGAAGCAAGGAATCAAACAGCCTTGTTCGGTTAAGGAGGACAAATTGAGCTAATTCAGGGAGAGAACTAGGATAGACAGCGCAATCAACATGGCAGAATGAGACCCTATCATATGCATCCTATCTCTGCATTTACCCTTATCTGCGCGTCGATGCGGCTATTGGCAATGGAAGTGTGAATATACACTTGTAGTAAATTCGCCACCTAGCTGATACGTTGAATAATATCCTGCATTTCTGACAGAGAAATGATTCGCGCGGTGTTCTTCCACAAGATTTTAGCGTCGTCGTCGAATTGTATCGATCGATCGGGCGTTACATTTGTCGGGTGTGTAACGATGCACACGATAAACGGAACCCGAGTCTAGCGTAGTCCTTGATGGTCGATCTGATTTCCAAATTCTCTTTAAATCTGTGAAGCACGTTTCATTCGCATGTGTGCTGTACTGTAATGTTTGTCAATCGCTTGGGGATTCCAGCGAAGCATTATTTAACAGAGAATACAGCTCTACACTCAACCTGAAATGTCTTCAACTCATCACTCAATCATGAGTGTTGCTGAAGAGCAACGTCTCGATTTTCTTCACACAAAATGAGCTGGGCCCAACCTAGAGGCGGGAAAGAGGGGAGAAGACAGAGAGGAGGAGAAGGGCTAGACTCCTATTGCGACTGCGCGATGGATCGGAAGATATTCCGACCTTCTGGGGGAGACCTAGAACGCCGCATAGATGTCCCGCACCGGTCAGAACTGCCACCTCGAACGCGACCCGGGTACTGTTTACATGGGCAACAAAAGTTGCCACTTCCACCCCCACAGGATTCGTCGCTTGACTGGCAGGAAGAGAGACGGCTTCCACCGCGACCAAACTCGTCGCCTGGCTGGCAGGAAAAGTGTCGGCTTCCACCTCCACGACGTTGGTCGCCTGGCTGGTACGAAGAGAGACCACTTGCTGACTCGGACACGCTACCTCGTCATTGGCGAGACGCCCAGCTTGCAAAGAGAGACACGCGGGGAACCAACCAGGGGCAGCCGACGAGCAAGGGCGCGAGGGTGCATTTTCAAAGGCCAGCTGAATGTAGTCAGAGGACTCCAGAAGATGAAGAGGAAGAGGAAGAATCAGGATCATCGCCCGGTAATAGCCTGAGAGGATCCGTAGCGCATATTGAGGAAGGCGAAAAGTCTGACGATCGGGATCCTGGGATTTCTGATTATTTCGATATGATTGAGCATGAGGGGGCCGGGAGCGGCGACGAGGACGATTATGTATATGTCCCTGATGGTAGCCCTCGTGGTAGTCCTTGTGGTAGATGCTTTTGAGAGAGAGGAGCTTTCGAGCAGAGCCTGAATGCAATGGAGCTTTCACTGCGACGCGGATTTGAAGAACGCTGAATCAGGTTTTTTCTCCAGCGGTGTTCCCGTTCGACAAAGCAATTTCGTCTTCTACTTCATCCTCCCCGTCCAAATACTCCAACGGAAACGTTAGCATCGCAGCAATGCCGCCTAAACCCTCCAATTGCTTGCCACTTTCATGCGTCCCACTCAGAACCCTTACTTCGCCTCCCTCGGTTTCTCTGACCCTATCCACTAAACCAACCCACCGCCTTCGTGTTCCCACATCTTGTGCCCTGAATAAAGAATCACAGATCAAAAGTATCCCACCGCCTCTCCCTACGGCCCCTTTTTCGACCGCCTGCTCAACTTCTCTGGGGCCGTAAGCGGCGCGGCCGTCGTCTTTGTAAAGCAAACTCATGAAAGTATCCATCAGTTTCGTCTCGCGGGCGTACTTGGTGTCTTTTAACCTGGCTAGGACTTCCGGGGACTGTAGTACTTCGTTTAGTGAGTGTAGGTATCCTGAAGCCGCGTGTACGACGACAAAGTTGCCCTTCTGCCCCATCAGCGACTTATTGCCCGTCCTCGTTGCCGTCTCCAGTATGAACTTCAGAAAAGCCTGAGCCACGAAGCCAGGACTCGCCAGCAGAATCGGCAAATTCGCACTCAGGTCGATATGCCTCAGCAGTGTATCCAAGGTTGTCTGAAAGAATTTCTCGAGAGCTTTATCATGATCTCCTTGCTTCCCTGTCCCCCTCTTCTTCGGCACCGTTGTTTCCACCTTTTGTCGGAGGACTGTTCTCTGTCCTGTCAACACCACCAAATGTGCCAAACCCTCCTGCATGATGACAGCCCAAACATCTGCTTGCTTTGCAGGGTCGCACGCCTCCTTCACAAGATTTCTTGCCACTGAATCCCATCCGTCTTTCTTTTCCAACGTAAAATTCCTGTTCAGCTCCAGATCCAGAGTATGCCATTGCCCCACCTTGGTGTATTTCGTCTCCTCGATTATACGTCCTGAGACGTGTAGCTGTGACGACTGGGTATCGAAATCTAACTTCTCCACTCGTATGAGTAGGTTAATGTGCACGCGTGTAGAGGATGTGGAGCCCGTGGCTGATTCCGTGGTGATACGGCGGAGCGCAGAGGCGCGGAGGAGATCCGAGGGACGGATGAGGTTGTAGGTGAACCACATGTCTTCAGGATCCTCGGGAAACAAGGTGATAGTGCCTGACCCATCGCGTTCAATCGCCTGTTTTACGAGGCGCATTGTAGTGAAGAAGGGGGAGATGGTGGGGCGGTTTGTCTTCAAGTGTGAAAGAGACTTCTTGAGGTGGGGTAGACGGACACAATTTGGACAAAACGCAGGGAGAGGTGGTGTTCAGGTTTGACAATGTTGAGAAGGTATTGACTACAAGCCTAGGTAATACATGTAAAGAGAGCGCTGTTGAGTGTTGTCCGAGCTCTTTGTTCTATGTCTCTCTCCCGATTAGGGATCGTGTGAGCGCCGCTTTACGCTCTTTTACTGCCACTTGCACGTATAAAAGGGTAGGGATGTGGATTTGTCATATGACACGTCGTCAGGTCAGACCTTCTCGGTCATTTACAGTCATATGTACAAATGACCACTGCAAAATTGAATGTCTTCAATTTGCTGTTCCAAAAAGATAAATTCTAGGTACTTGCCTACTTTGGCTCACTTCGTTACCAGTCTTTCACGCTGAGGCAATGCAAAAAAATTGAAGCGTGTGCTCAGAAGGACTGCCGTTGGTACTTAGAAGGAAGTAGTCATTACACAGCAATTATTGTTATTGGGGGCCACTGTGTTGAGCGATGTTCTTCTTCCCTCAAGAATACTCGACATCAACTTCACGGTCTTTCGCTTTTCATTACTTCTCACAGCTCTCGTAGAAGACCTAAGTCCATTCCAAGCCCTGCATTAATTTCTCTATCCTTTTCAAGGGAATCTCTGCTATTTCATCGGCCCATTTCGAGACGCGCTCATTCACCAGATCCTTTAATCTCGTAACCTCTTCTCTGTTCTGGGCCGCAGACGTAGCCCGAGCAAGGACCCATGCTTTCAATCGTCCCAAGTTCTCCTCGCCTTGTATCTCCTTAGCGTCTTTATAGGTTATGATACTGTGGCGACCCGATGAAACACTGTCAGATACCGCCTGAAGGGAAGCCCCGGTAAGTTGTGGATCAGAATGGGGTTCTGCGGATGCACTAGCTGCATCAGGCCCAGATTGCGGACTTCTTATGACTGGAAGGTCTTATTGGCCCTTCGTCCAGACAAAGGATCAAAATGGCGTTCAATGCATACCCAGAGATCCTTTCACTTTCAGGAATAAGATGGGAATGCAGGCCTGGCTCTTGAGGGGCAATATGCGGTCCAGCGTCCAGAAGCACATCGACTATCCGATCATAACGACCAGAGACTGCGACAAGCAAAGCAGTATATCCTTCAACTTTTTCAGTGTTGATGTCTTTGATGATCGGAAGCAATACCGCAACGACGTCCTCATACCCAGAGCCGGCAGCAAGTGAAAGCGGGCTGTTTCCGAAATCGTCGAGTCTATTGGCATCCGCCTCCGATGCGATCAGAAACTCAAGCACCTCAAATGTCTCATGTAGGCAGCATTGTGTTGTAATGTCGCATGAGAAGATATGGCATACGTCGATTGATGGATGTCTATCCCACGCTCACACAACGGTCCTAGCAGTAGCTCATTCCCTGTGTCGAGATCGGCACATATAACAGCTTGTAGAGCCAAATCTCGCTCGGCACAGGTCTTCGGATCTTCATGCGTATCGATGTCAATAAAGAACGCAAACAAGAAATGTATCATAACACGCCGGGTTGGGAATACCTTGCACAAGCGTTCGAAATCGCCGAAAAAATTAGCCTTTCTTGCAAGAGCTTGACGACATCCTCGTAGCCGTAGCGCGAAGCTATACACAAGGCAGTGCGGCAGCCGTCGTTCGATATTTCACCACGTACCCCATTGTCAAGCCCGATTTGCACATGTGTTGTTGATCCTGTCTGAGCCGCCGTCCAGAGTACCGATTGTCCGTCGTCGGCTGTAGCGTCAACATTGGCTTCCCCTTCCATCAGCATGCGCACAACTCGGGAGGTTTGCAGCTGGTGTTCCCTAGATAATGTGCTATTTTTCCAGAGGAATACCCCATGCAACGCTGTAGAGCCAGCAAGGCTACCGATCTCCGTGGTTGCATTCGCCTTCAACAGGTGACGGACTATTTCGCCATTGTTTTTCCTGGCCGCCCTGTGTAGGGCCGTATAGCCCGCTGCATCCGTTCTGTCGATCTTGGCACCTACCCGGACCAGAGTTCCCACTACTTCCTCGGCACCGTACCATGCGGCCCACGACAGGTCGTCTTCAAGGAAGTTGAGTTCTATTTGCTCAGTAAGTCGCTCAGACTTCTTGTAACAGTCCACGGCATCTGCCGGCGCCTGAGTCCTCGAGTCTGGCCGTATTTTGAACGATAACAATGCCACAAACGCTCGTATGACGTTCCGGCCTTGAAGTATAATCCCAATTTCTTGTAGAATCGAGCCAAATCTGATATTGCTTGCAAGGGCTCATTGTTGCCTGGCCCTGATAGTCTCTCATTTCACACCATCGTCTGCATCAGGTAATACTCTTTGTCAGAGAGTGGAGTTGCAGGATCCTCAAGTGTGGCATGCCGATCCTCAACAATAGCATGAAAGTCCTCGTCACCGCTGACTCCATCGAGTCTCAACGGCGGCTTTGTCTTGTTGGTCGCGACGACTACCTGCTGCTGAAGGTGTCCATACAAGAGGGCCCCCCTTGTCAAATCGTTCAGCTCCTCGAACCCCATGGGAAAGGCTTCCCGCTTTACTGCCTGATTAGAAAACCTACCTTGGGGAAAATTCTAGGGGCTATCTCCAAGTAGTTGCCTATGCACGTGTCGACATCCATTTTAGGACGCCAAGCATAATTGCAATAAGCCTTTGGAAAAAGTCTCAGCACCTGGTCTGACTGACGGCTTTCCCGACGACTCGTTTGGACTCCGGGGTGAAGAGGAGCGCAAGACTTATCCGCCATTTGAAGTGCCAGCAATCATCTCAAAACATTGACAGGGTAGCAGTGGCCGCTTGACTCCAGGATCTAGTCGCTCTTCGAGGACCCACGTAACTCTTTTTAAGATCAAGAGGGACGCGACTCCACGAACCCCACCGCCGTCTGAACGCAAGATTCGTCAGCCTTGCACCAGGGTCATGATTATTGTTTCCATACCCAAAGAGAGAAGACATAGAGTAGTGCCTTTTCTGACGCCGCCGCCCAAAGCACAGACCTGACAATGTGCCTGAGACAGCTACAAAAGCTCTGACTGAAATCAATGCAAGAAGTATGTAACCATGAGATGGTAGGCAAGTACCCCACCGCCCCCACCCCCATAGCCAGAAGCTCATGCTGGAGCGTGCCTAGCTTGGTACCCTTCCAGCAGAGATCTATATTCGGGTTCTCCATCCGAATAATCGGGTCTAGGCACAGCTGCCCACGAATCTACCAAAGCAACAGCAGCGCAAAAGGCTCAGAACAATGCCACAGAGATCGACAAATGGCAGTGAGTTATGATACCGCATGCTCTACATCTCCGGCAAGAGCCCAGCCTTTAGCATTCATCTAGCAGATGTACTCTAGCCACGGCTCCCGGGGCATTTTACAGAGTGAGCTGTGGACGACCGTGATGGAGTTGACGGATGATAACAATTTGCCAGCCGTAGGAACTCTTGGAGATCAGGACTACCTTACGCTTGGGAGGATAGTAGCTTGATGGATATCCAACACCGAACAACATTTAGCGATAATAATAAGAGGAGTACTCGAGAGTTGAAGAGAGAGACGACGCTTTGCTTTCTTTGATACCATGTTCTGTTGAACAGTGACAACATTACCTTTGATATATGTTGAGTGAATGGGATATAGGTGTGGGTAGCGAAAATGGCTTGCCTCGACCACACTCCCACTTATTCGGAACGGGCCCCCCGGATAACAGGCCAACTTTGCCCCACCCGGCTTATCGTTGTGCGGTGTTATTCATCAACTGTTCCTCATTAATAGACCTATGCAAAGACGAGGCTCCATTGTTTGTCTTTACGAGCATTGCTCTGCCAAGCATCCATATCGATAAGAGTCTGTTTTCGGCTTAGCTCCAAAGCTGACAACGAAGGGCGAATTTAGCCGAGCGAGATATTGAGTTCGGTTCAATGTCGCCAGTCAAGACTTTCACTCTCCTTCCCACCGGTATAGAAGGAGAGTAGGTGGTGCAAGAAGTGTAGTGATCCATCTCTAAGCTACAGGGTTGAGGTAGCTTATTTGATGAGCCAGATGATGCATATGGATCATCGTCTAGCCTCTACCGGATCGCCCGTTCCATCTACAAGGTGTGGAAACTTACATGCTTCATTGAGGATGATGCTTTGACGTTCTAAGGAGGAGAAGATGGGTGGAAATACGTATGGAACGGTCAAAATCATTCTAGACGACAACAAGCAGCGCCAGGAAAGGAGAGGCCCAAGGAGACCCACACAAAGGAAGGCGACCTAAGGACGAGTATGGAAAGCTGCCCTTGGCAGCTCAGTCACTGAATGAACGGGCTCAGCTAGAGCAACGAGCACTTGAATCCTAGGACCTTCAATTAGTGGACAGCCGGTCATTGCAATCTTTGGTATCAAGCAGATTGAAATACTAATGACCATTCCGAGATACGGAAGACATTCACGAAATTGACACATTGTCCTTCGGCCCAAGCATATCCCCCAAGACAAAGCGTGGAGGAGCGTAATGACCCTTCTTCAAATACCCTTCCCCCACCGGTATGCCGCTAACCTCCATCGCGTAAAATATTTCTGAGAACCTCTTCTTCTCCAACATGTACCCAGGAACCATTCTCAAAGACTTGATGACGTGAATGTACTGAAAGAAGGGCGGCTTAGTGCGTGGGATTCTCCTTTTGTGAAGATAGAATTGCAAATTTGCATATACATCAATCGCGGCTGACGCGTATGGTCCGGGGACTTTTTCAGAGGCTGGGTGCGGGGCTGCGTTTTTCAGACCGGCCATGACCGTGAGGAAGACTTCAACGACAGTAAGGGTTTTGGCGTCCGGTGGAAACAAAGGCCTCCAGTTGAAGCGCCCTTCGTTCAAGGCATCAGAAGAACTCTCTGTGCTGTTAGCGTTAACGAGGATGCCGCCTGTGGTTTCGTTGGGACTAGGCAACAGCGTCAAGGGCTCATCAGTGCCTAGAGTCCCATTGCTGCCGGTGACTTGAAGGTCCATCGGCTTCGTGAAATAAATATAAGCCACCACCTCGCGATCCCAAAGGACGTCAAATTCAGCTTCGTGGAAACTGTTCCTAGTGACGATATCGCGGATGCCGACCCAAATGCCCCAAACGACGAGACGGACCTCGACAGAATTTGCCGGAGCAGCCGGCAGTACGGCTATTTCTACCTGTGGGTATGCAGGCAGTACAACTCCGTGGCGCTGTCTGACTTTGCTCAACCAATCAAGCTCGGCGTATTGGGCTAGCAGCTCCACTACGTTCATGAAGCAGGGCGTGAGGGGGAGATTGGTTTCTCCATACTTTGCCATGAAGCCGAAGCGGGGGTCTATGGTTGCGTCGAGAGTCGTTGTGTTCACGAGCCGGGAACTTGCAAAAGCGTTCGATAGAGTCGGACGTGGGGAAGTGAGGGCGAGCGTGTTCACTGCCGTAAATAGACAAGCGAGCAAGAAACATGTTTGCCCCACGGCAGCATTCGAGCATCTCATCTCTAGGTCGGAAGATTTGTTGAAGATGCTTTTTAGTGAGGACGCACTTTTATTAACGCATTAGAAGAGTTGCATGGGACGGCGAATTCCTTGCATGCGGGTGCTTACGCGGCTGATGAGACGACATAGAGCCGACAATGCGATACGCGAAGGAATGTCCCCAAGGAATGGATATGTGCATAAGCGACTGGAGTAAATAGAACTGCAGTTGGTGCTGTTATCGGCGAGGATCCTCACAAGAAAGGTTTTCGCACATTCACTGTTTCATGAAGTGAACAACGTCGTCTAGCTGACATTGTCCTCCGTTTTTTCCTGAAATGCCCCACAAGGAATCGATCGAAGTTAGGCAGCGGTACAGAATGAAGTCTAAAGTGCTAGCGGCGATATGTTTTTCAAACCCAATCTTGGTCTAGCGGTACGGAGGTTGTTGCCTTGTTAGTATCTTCGTCTAGGGGATCGATCTTATATCTCAAGGTTTTTTTTATCGGATACCAAGCGAGTCTGAGACTACCCGTGATGTTATTCATGTCTTCTTGACAGAGTTGTTGATATTCCGCCATTGGTGGCTTAGGACAGATCAACCATATAGAACATAAACGCACATCTTAGGTTGGTCTCATCAGCCCCTGCCAAGTCATTTGTCTCTCACTGTTTGGAGATCATCTGCTAACTGCATGGTCGCTGGGATAATCAGGAACTCGAAAAACACAATACAGATCGCAGCAGGGACCATTTTGCGGGATAGTTGTCGTCATCGAAGTGGAACGCTCCCTAGGTACAGGCAGATGAAGGGCTGTCCAAACACAGAAGAGAATGGTGGATAGGCAGCTCCAAAGCATGTCGTTGGTTCCTCGGCCGTGTGGGGCATTCACCCAGTCATGGACCGGATCCGCATCGGTAGCATTTCGCAGGCCAGCTACAGAGGAGATGGTATAAGCTGGTAAGATGAGGGAAGTGATATGCAACATGCTGTATCGACCAATGATGCCTTTAAATGGGTGCTGGAGTTGTGAGCAGTGTTCCTCTCCCGGCGAGCAGAGGATCGAAACGCTAGAGGTAATTGGTCGTACCTCGTATGGGACTTGTTTCGCTGACTGGTAAGTTGAGGGTTAGTTCAGGCAAGCAGGAGGTCAAGCCTTGAACAACGAAGATGTATACCTATGCACGAAACTGAGAACGGCTGAACTCAGCAGCCTCGCCGAAGCAGGGTCTCCGTCTCGACAGTCGTAGACAGCCCCGCAGAAACGGGGCAAAGATTGTTGCGTTAGTCCCTTTCTGTGTGATTGGACGACGAGGCGAGAGCACCTGCACCTCGGCCCCTCGATTGACCAGGCTTTCATGGTCGCAAACAGCCGAAGTAGCAAGCACGAGCCAGCTCGACAGTGGAGATGGACTTGCTAGGTAGAGTGTGACCAAGGCTGACACATTTGCAACTTGTCCTCATAAACGGGCACAGTCGCCTTTCCTTTGCTTACTGAAGCTCCATGTGAAGTGGATGCTTAGGCGACAGTAACAGTGTGTACCGCTAAAGAGTCACTGAGGAATCATCCTGGGACTTGCAGATCAAGGGCGACCAATCAGCAAACAATGTCGGCTGAACACTCGTTCACCGCGGATATCCACGCCTTGTTCTAAATTGCCTTGTATGCTTCTGTTAGCCGTTGCCGGCATTAGTCTGGAAAGACTTCCAAACCTCTATGGGAATATAGCTCTCCTAAAATGTCCAATTGGGCGCCTATCACTGCCCTCATGATGCTCAGTTGAGCACGCATCCACTCGAAACCATGCAGCACGGCATGCTTCAAACCAAACTCCGTCATCTATATACAATCACGTAACGTGACTCTATATCTTTACGCGCTTCAGAGTATCTACCAGTCACGGCTCCCCATCTCCCATCGAGCTAGCCCTTCTCCCTTTGCCGTTCATGATCTCAGGCAAGACACCTGCGCTCGCAGCCACAAATCCGAGGAACGGCTTACTGGGCCTCAAGACTCTTGACAAATACTCTGGGTGGAATTGAACTCCAACGAAAAATGGATGGTCTTTGAGTTCGAGAATCTCCATCCGTTTGCCACTGTCATCGCGTCCGATAAAGTTCATGCCAGCGCTCTCCAACTTTTCAACGTAAGCAGGGTTGACTTCCCAGCGGTGACGGTGACGTTCATTGATGATTAGAGGACTGGGATCTGATGTTGTGGAAGGCTCTTGTACCGCAGTGCCGTTCGCGGTAGGATTGTTGTTTGGAATGTCTTTGGTGGCTGAAGATGTGACGTGGCCGTTCGAGGCATCAGACGGGGAAGTACCGTTTGCAGTAGGCATCGAGGAGCCAGGATCGTTCCGATAGAGATTATAGATCTTTGACCATTCAGAGCCTGGTAAAAAGTGAGTCGCACGGTTTCCTCTATTGAAGGGTCAGCATCTTTCTCTTGTAACATCTGCTTGGAGAGACATACAAACGCATGGTAGCGCCCATGGTAGTCTTGTCTATCTCAGGCATTTCGATGATTAGAGGAACGGCCGCGTCCCTGTTAAATTCGGTGCTGTCCGCTTGGGGCAAGTCACACTTGTTTCTTGCAAACTCGATCGCGGCAAGCTGTAGACCAAGACATATGCCGAGGAAAGGGGTGTTCTTCTCACGGCAGGTTTTGATTGCGGAAATCATTCCCTCACAGGCGCGTACACCAAAGCCGCCAGGCACCAACACACCATCCGCGGTGTACACTTGATGCCACGCTTTGTGATATGCCACGGGTGATTCGGTTTCAGCGGCGGCTTCGAGATGTCCGCTGTGGACATCTATCCGGACTAGCTTTCTTGAGCAGGCCATGGCAGCATGCTCGAGAGATTTGAAAACCGAGTGGTAAGCATCCGGATGATCAGTATACTTCCCGACCAGAACGATCCGAACTTCTTTGAAGAAATGATCTCGGGATATAGTGAGTTCTTTCCATGCGTTCCAGGTTTGGACCCCTCTCGTTACCAGCGATGATGATATACCGCTCTGCTTCAGCCGGAGGACGTCAATGAGTTTCTAAAAGAATTACTTAATATATGGGAAATACTTAGAAAAAGTATTATTATAAAGAATATACGATTAATACTTATAAATATTCGGTTTACGAGGGACTATATAAGGCTTAAAATAAAATATATATAATAAAGAAGAGAGAGATAGCGAGAATAAGAATAGCGAGATAATAGATTTCTTTACGATTTATAATAATGAAGAAGATATCGACTAGCTATTAAATAAGCGATTAATTAAATAATTACTTTTAGAATATATTTAATTATAGATAAAATAAGGAATTTTTTTAAGATTAATATTTACGCGCGATAGAGCTAGTAGATAGAGATAGAATAGTTAATAGAGAAGAAATTAGAGCGTTAAATCTCGAAAGAACTACTATATCGAATCTTTAGTCGAGTAAAAAGAAGATATACTTTTATATTATTAATAAGAGTCTTATCTAGAAATAGATCGCTCTTTAAAGTAGTAAATGAAGTTAAATAATATAAGAATAATATAGCGATAAGGGAAATTAATAATCTCGAGGACGCTAGATAGTCTCTAAGTTAAAAGAGTAATAATAAGAGAATTACGATCCTCGTTAATAAGAAATAAAAAGAGATATATTCGATTTATCGATAATTAAGAAAAGAAGAATACTTAGAAAGAAAATATGAATTCTATAGACTAGGCGGAGTGAGTAAGTAATATTAATAATAATATTAAGAAATAATAGTATATCTTAGTTAGCTATTAATACTATAATATAATATAAGAAAATTTAGAATAATTATAATAGAATTCTTCGATAATAAAAAGATTTATAATATCGATATAGTAGTAATTTAGAAGCTCTAGAGAAATATTAATATAAATATATTATATTATTTTCTAAAGAATAGATTTAACTTAATCTATCTCTATTATAATAATATATAAATATACTTCTATATTAATAAGAGAATATTATTAAAGTAATAATATTTATTATATTATTTATTAAACCTCTATACTCTTAATATTAAGTTCGAAAATAATAGAATTATATATATATATAATATCTATAATCTCGATAATTAATAAATAGATAAATTTAACGAACTATATAAGACGCTTATAAAGTTTAAGAATAACGAATAGATTATACTAAGCGACTTTAATCTTTATTATATAATATAAGAGAAATTAAATACTTATATCGATAAGAGAGTAGAAGAATTAATACTTATAGCGAAAGAATTCGCTATAAAATAAGTATTACTAGTAGAAATAATAATATATAAAGAAAACTATTAAATAATAATAGATCTACTATTCGCTACTTTAGTATTAATAATAAATATTATTAATTATAATATCGAAAATAATTTCGAAAGCGAATTTAATTATCTTTTAATTTTTATAAAGCTTAAGCTAGCCGTAATAGAGTTAGTATTAATAATACGCCGAAACTTTAATAAATTAGATATCGAGGTTTTAAGAGAGATATTCGCTAGAGCTATAATATCGAAAGAGTATTTAATTAATTTCTCGAGGAATAATAAAAATCTTATTAATAATAATATCGATTATTAAATAGCGATTATTATTAACTCTATTTAAGCGACTATAGAGGAGTCTACCTCGATTATTAAATTATTATTATAATCTAAATTAAGATTTATATTAGAATATAAGAAAGTATAAAGATATTATAAATTGCTAAAAAGAAGCTAAAGAATAACGCTCTTAAAGAAAGTATAAGATAAGTATAAAGTCGCTAAGAACTTTAAAAATAATCTAATTAAGAGAATTACTAGAAAGGCGTTTAGAGAGTTTATAATAGAGATATATAAGTCGTTATAAATAATATAGAAAAAGATTAAGTAAGTTAGAAAATAACTTATAATATAGATATATCTCCCTTCGCTATTTAATAAAGATAAATAAGAATATAATAAATTAGGCTTAAAGGTAGATCTTCTTATAAGAACGTTCTTTCTATTATTAATATAGACGAAGTTAAATAATATTAACGTCGATATAACGTATTTATAAGTCTATCTAATAGATATAATTATTATAAATAAGATAAGAAAGGCTATAACGTAAGTATCGTTAAAGAGAGTCTTAAGAGGAAACGCGATCTCTAATCTAATTCTTAAGAAGATTCTAAAGTTATTACTCTCTTATCTATATAGAATATTTAATATATATATAACGAACGACTACTATCTAAAGCACTTTAGAATATTAATAATAATTATTCTTTCGAAGTCGGGTAAGGATTATTTAATTTCTAAAGAATACTAACTAATAGCTCTACTTAATACTATAGAAAAGATAATAAAGTTTATTCTTACTAGAAGAATAGCATATCTTATAAAGATATATAAACTTCTATCGATTATATATATAAGAGGCCGTAGATTATAGTTATATAAATATAATATTTACTATCTTCTAGAAAGAATATATTAGATCTAAAACTCTAATAAAGTAATTATAATATTACTACTAGACGTTTTAGATATATATAATAAAGTCTCTTATTCTCGATTACTTTATAATCTTCGAAAGCGAAAAATCGATATTAGAGTAGTTAATTAAATAGAATTATTCTTATTTAATAGAATAATAGTATTAAAAATAAGCGAATACTCTATACTAAAGACTTCTATAATAACCGAAATTTCTTAAGAATTATCGCTATCGCCTATACTTTATCTCTTCTATAATTTAGATCTTATCGATAAATATAATAATCGCGTCGACTTAGAAATAATAGCTATCGACTTTATAAACGATATAAGTCTTCTAATAGTAGAAGACTTTATTAAGAAAAACTATAACGCTCTTTATAAAATCTATAACGAAGTTTATATAAAGTAGATGTTATAATATAAATTAAAGTTTAATTCTAATAAATATTAACTACTATATCTTAGTAGAAAATAGAGATTTAGCTTAGATTATTCTCTATAACTTAATAAGAGATAATATATTAAGATAAGACGCTTTATTCGCTATCTAGAAGTCGAAATTAACTTTAAACTTCTATAAAGCTATTATAATAAGAAGATTTGATCTAAAGCTATTAAAAGTATCGATATATTAATAAGAATTATCGAATCGATATAGAATAATAATTATAAGAGTATAAGATAGCTCTATTAGATAGTAATTATTTTATAAATAATATATTATTACTTAATATAATATTAGTCTAAAGATACTATCGACTATAATAAAACTTATCTCTTATTATTATAAAGAATTTAATCTTAGATAAAGAGAAAGATAATTAAAGTATTTAAGATTATATTTATTTTAGTACTTAATATAAAAGTATATTTTTTATTAGTTAAATAATAGCTAGATAAGATTACCTCGAAAGCTATCTTATAAATCGCTATTAGTTTAATATATAGCGAGATTATTAAGTTATAATTCGAGCGATAAAAGTTTAAAAGAAAATCTAAGAAGAATAGGAAACTAAGTCTATTAAAGCGATATATTAATAGATTTAAAGAACGATATAACGATATTAATAAGATTAAGAAACTACGCTCTTTTAGCGCCGCCCTTAATTAAGAGTCTTTTAAAATAATAATTTATAAGATTAAGAAAGTCGTTAAAGAACTAGCTAAAAGATTGATTAATAAGAGTTATATAATAATATATATAGACGATAATAGAATTAATAAAAAGATAAGAGCTTTAGCTATATCGTTAGATATTAATTTTACTTTTAATATCTATTTAGACTTAAGCGACTAATATATAATATACTCGATAAAGCTATATAATATTCTTTAAGCTCTAACTATAATAGTTATATACTAAATAAAATTATAACTTAGTAGAGTTATAGTAAATATAAATAATTAAATATTAATTTAGACTATCGAAGATTCGAATAAGTATTTAAAATAGATCTATATAATATAGATAGTATAGATTATTAATTCGTTAAGATATCTCGAGATAGTAATAGAATTATATTAGATTTCGATGTATATCGATATTAATGATAATAAATAGACGAATAGAAAGGCGAAGAAGACTATTAACTAGCGAGAGCGAGTAGTTTATAATAAAAGAGTAAAGATAAATATTAACGAAATAGTCTTAATTATTAATTATATAGATAAGAATAATATCGATAATTAAGATAGCTATTAGAGATTACGCGATAAAATAATAAACTATTAAATAGACTAATAAGAAGCGAGGCGATATTCTTAGAAGAATTTAATTAATATCGTCGAAATAAATATAACTTCTATATTCGAGAGTTAAGCGCGCTAAAACGTCGCTAATAACGTAAATAAAGATCGAGAAAATAAATCTTAAGATCTTTCTTTATAATCGATAAATATCGGATATAGAGAATAAAGAATATAAGTATAGAGCGAAGTAGATAACTCGATATATTCTTTATAAATATAGATTATTTAATAAGAAGCGAGGAATATAATAAGTCGAAGAAAGAAGAAAGATAAAAGAGGAGGTTATTACTTATAAGAATATGCTAATAAAATTACGCTACGCCTCTATAGCGACGAACTTTATAAGAAGTATTAGACTTATTAAGTAATATTAAGCCCTTAATAAAAATTAATAATAAGAATTTATTAGAGTAGACGATTAAAAAGAAGAATACGATATA